CTCGAGAAGATGTATATAAATGAGCCTGTGGATTTACGAGGATGTCGTTACAGTAGAGTCTGATGCGTTAAGGAGATGGCAATCGGAATTTGAATATTTTTTAAGGATTCCAACAATGCGCCAGATGATGTAAATTAAAAATCCTTCCAATGAGAAATTCGTCACTTGAAAGCTTACCATAAAAATGCTCGCATCCATCGAACACCATCGATCGATAAAGTAAGCCACGCATACGATTACGTAGCACAAATGACGGGAAGGTTTAAAACCGCCCAGCGCGTTTCAACCTTACGCTTTACCTTAGTTAAAAAGATTTCAAGTGTAATGTAGGTACAGGTCGTCGCGTACAGGCTATATTTGTACGTTTGCAGCGGCGGGCCTCCGCGTGTATAAATAGTGCACTCGCGACGGTATAGAGTGTTGGAGGCTAGCGCGCGCGCGCACCTCCTCTCTCTGCTCGCATCGCCGCTCCAGATGCCAGGGCCCGATAAGGGCGTCTTAACAGCGTTTTAGCGGTTCCTTACACATACTGTAGACACATCCGTTCGTTCCGACGTGCTGCATGGAGCCTCGAGACTGCTATATACCCTGCATTTTCTATCTATATATATAGGCATTTACTTGTGTATACACCAGAACGCCGAAGCGGAGTTTATTATAACGCGGAGCAGCATCGCGTCGCGCGCAAAGTGTCAGGGGCCACGACTTATATGCCAACCTAGCGTATTATATTATATAGCTATGTGCGCCTATGTGTGCGTGTCTTTTACTCGGTTCCGAGAGCATGTATAAAGCTTATAATAAATTGTATCCTGTTATATGCGGCGAAAAAGCTCGATTTTAAAATACTGTACCTAATTCTTTACTTCTCGTCGGTTCTGCGGGTCAAACTTGCGATCATCTATGTGATGTTTTACAGCTGATCTACCCCATACCCTACAATTCTAAAGTTCGAATCCGAAAGTTGGATGAATATTTTCATCCCCTCAACGAGTAGCACTGACAACGAAAAACTGAGCTTGTGTTACTTAATTATTCTACTCCTTTGATTCGTCCTAGACACGCACTCTCATTTTGCAATCATTCGGTGCAGCCACCTTCGTACTTGTATGTATACAGCGACACGCGCACCTCGTGTCGAAACATCTTAGATACATATTTTTATATTCAGCTGTCTTATAATGTAATATTATAATGTTGCAACGAAACGTGTCGCAAGGGAGGTGGAAGCGAGCGAGAGAGAAAAAAAAACGGTAATCGTCGTCATTTTCTTCTTTGTGCGCCGCGTGTGAGAACCTCGTACTCCTACTTCTTCTTTTTTTCTTTACTTTTTTTTTGTTTGATAAGACGCACGCGAGATATAGTACACGACGTACATACACACATCGGCTAAATTCGAGTCACCTCCTTCGCCGCGTGTATTATGTACAAGTTTTACATTGACGCAAGTCTGGCTCGGCTCTTCCTAGATGATTAACGCGCTCAACTTTCTCTCGATGCGAGAGAAAAAAAAATTGTAATTGAATGCGATTCGTATGCGGTACGCGGCTGGAAAAAAATGCGAGTCTGCTCGAGGCGAGCAGATACAGTTTGGAGTTGAATGAAAACGTGGAATTGCGTGAAACGAAACAAGTTCGCGATCTTCCGATTCGAACAAAGAAAACTCAAAATAAACTTCAATGAAAATGCATGGTTCGCTGTGTAGTTTTGCTTGGAGTAACGATCGAATTACGGAGTCATAGTTTCATGCGACAATCCTACATGGTCCAATGCATAATGTTTGTCATGTTGCGCGATTGGAGAGCGACGCGTAATCAAGTAGTTTTACGCGACACCGTATCGTGCATGCAAGGAGGAATAGAGAGAGAGAGAGAGAAAGATCGCGTAGAGCCATTGTGCAGCGTGGCATAAAGTGCCGTTAACGCAGAAAGAGGTCGTCTCCGTCGCCGACAGCTTTTTTTCCCTCTTTTTAAATCCTCCCGCGCAGCGTGTCGCGCTTATGCGCAGCACATTGTACTTCGTGTATATAGTACATGCGCCAGCCATATATAATATAAAATATCATAAGCGTAAAGGACAAGCGCAATTAAATGCTACAACGACGCGGGGTCAGGGAGCGCCACACAAATACACACACACACACATATATATTCGCAGGATGTTCTCCATCTCTTGGTATATTTACATCGTGAGCAAGTATACAAGCCCATCGCGCAACTGTATAACATTACAACGGAAAAAAGCCAAACGGCAGCTCGCAATCTTTTTTATTTTATTATTTTTTTCTTTTTCTCAAGTTCTTTTTTAAGTGGAAAAAATTAATAAAATCTTGCAACGATTGCGTGCGCCCAACTTTCCTCTTATTTTTCAGGAATTGCGTCGAATTACTCATTAATTTGATGATTACCAGATATGCCGACGGTATACGACGATGGGCGTGCGCGCCTATACGCGCATATACAAAGGCGCGAGAAATAGATTTTCGCAACTCGCGCGACCTATGCGTGCAAGCACGCGCTTTTCTTCTCTCGCGTATCCTCTATAATGTAGCGTTATTGTAAAAGGTTCGTGTAAACTTGAACGTCGCGAGCGCGCGCGTATATGCTAATTAGCGGCGGTATATTTAAGTGCAACGATGGCGGCAGAAAGTTGGAAAAATTACCGTTGCGGTAGCGTCAGATCACGCTGAAAAGCGTAAAAAAAAGTCGCGATAGCCGATGCATAATAATACTATACTTCATGAGAAATTAAGCTTTTACTTTGATGAATCTTTATTTCAAGACTTGAAATCGTTTTTTGACAAAAAAGATTTTTGCATTGCAAGAATAAAACAATTCAAGCAAGACGTGAGAGACAAACTGTCGAGTGACTTGGCACGAAGAGCTGTGCAGGTAACCAAGTAGCCAAAAATATATAAAATCCACCATGAAAATCATAAAGGTGTAATGATGGATGACAACATGCAATGTATGTGTAAGATGTAATCATTTCGGCACAATATTTGTTGAACTTTTTCAAATACGTTTGTATAAGTATCAATACATATTTAAAATCGTCAAACATCATTTTTTGCCGCTTGCGTAATCTTTGCAACCCTCGTGTATTTTTTCTTGGTGTCCGAGCAATTGCTGATTATGTCCCAAATTTTTTCCCACAACTTTCGCGGGCTGTCTTTTGGGGCATAATCAAACACGATTTTTGTACAAATTTTTTCTGGAACTTGTCGCATGCGAAATCGATGTGCTGCTCATGGACTCTGGTTATGTGCATGAATAATCTTGCTTAACATCAAATCTCTTCGCACACATTTCACAAAAGTAATTTTTGAAAACTTCGTGGAATATTTTTTTGTGATTTACCAAATTTGATTTATTTTCAAATTTTCTCTCGCACTTGTCGCATGCCCAAGTCTTCGACCTTAGTGATCTGTTTTTTGGTGTCTTCTCAAATTTCTTTGTTCCTCAAATTTCTTCTCACAAATGTTGCACTCATAATCTTTGCGACTTTCGTGTATCGTCTTTTGGCAAACGCCATTTATGTCCAAATTGCATTCCACACTTGTTGCATGTGAAAACTTTTCGACCTTCCTGAATTGTTCTTTTGGTGTACCGTCATTTGGTGATTCAATAAATCTGCTTATCTTCCAAATTTCCACTCACACTTGTCGCATAGGTAATCTCTGCAACCTTCATGAACTGTCAATTAGGATTTATAACTATTAAAATATTTTTGATTGATTTTTTTTTTATAATAGCTGCTCCAATCACCAATGTTTCCTGCAGTCAATGCATTGACAAGTATACTTTTTTCCTAAAAAATTATAACTCATTCATAGATATTTTTATTCATATAATTTTATAATGTACATACATCTATGTTAATAAATAAAAGAAATGAAAATGAATATCGTTAGGATACAAAAAATTTTGATCTGAATACTTATATGCAAGAAGCAGTTGAGCTTCAATTGTAGTGCAAAAACTTAGGGATCGCCTGAATATTTTAAAAATCATAAGTGCAGAATTTTAAAACATTTTTAAAACGTTCAATCGTGGACGTTCAATCGTAAATTTTTTTTCATCGATCGAACTCCTTTTTTACATTCAATCCTTTAATTATTTGAATTTTCAAGTTAGTTTTTGTTAAAATTTGTAAATAAAACAATGAATATAACTTTTTGGACGCACTAAACGCGTGGAGGATTCATAGTTTGTGAGTACATGCATGCACCAAAGAATCTTACAAAAACTTTCCCAACTTCCTGAACTATATATTGTACGAAGACGAGTTCCGCGCCATCATCGTCATCGCGCCTTCGACTTTGAAAATTGGATATTCATATACGCGTGTGCAGAGCACCGCATCGACGAAACATCTCTATTATGGTGATATCTTTTTGCGCGTCAGGAAAAGATCGGCATGGTCAGTAAAGCGCATCGTAGTATAAAGGAGCCTAAGCAGCAACTAACACAGACGCGTACACGACGGCGATTGAGAAACCTTCAGGAATCGCAGGCGTGCGTGTACATTTATAATTCGTACATACTTTATTATGTTGTATGCATGCATTACGCGCTTTTGGACGAACGCGCGGTGTTGCGCAGAGGGGCCGAACGTGTATAAATACGTGTACGCGCTGTAATTTTCCATTGTTGTCCAACTTCTGAAACATGTAATCTAGTGCAAGGTTGGCCTAGTCGAAAAAATTGAGCCTATGCGTATCTTCTTGACTCTAGCTCCGATGTGCGAATTTAAAAAAAGAAGATGAGGTCGCCGTTGGGAAAGATTACCACCGAGCATACCGCTATGACTCAAGTGGCGTATACAACCTTCTTTTTTTCCTTCTTTCTTCCTCTCTTTTCGCAAGTAATTTGGACATGCCATGTAACGACTACTCTGATCTGACGTAATTACTACTTTTAAGCTTTGTGAAAAACAATTTAAAAAAGGTTTGACTCGTAGAGCAATTTATTGCAAAGACAAAAAAATTTATCGTTTAAAATAAAATTTATGCAGTCGTGTTAATGATCGACCGGTATCACAGAGTCGTAAGTGTACTTCGATATTGAGTTTTCGTTAACACGATCGACAATTAGTGCCCACAGATCACTTGCTTGTACGGTAATCTCGCTCGAGATGATTTCTTGGAGATCCGAAGAGAGATTTGGTTCGTTTATCAGTTCAACCGAGTTACTGTCTTCCATAAAAATCTCCACGGCACTGCGAAAAAAGCAACAATTTGAACAATACGATTTTTAAATAAAAAACATCAATAGAAATTTTTATCCACTGACCCGTTATTAAAATCAATTTTCGAAAACAGTACGGTTTTATTTTCGCTGTTGATATCAAAGTTAAGGCGAACATCAATTGGTTCGATCGTGCATCGGATCTTTTTGGGTTCGTCATCTTCATTAATTTTGTAATCGTAATACACCTGATAAAACAACCATAATTCATTAGATAATTAAAAAATGTATTCAAAGTATAATAAATACCTCAAGTTTCGGCCAATAAAAAGATTGTAGTACTGTTATTCCTTCGTTTGAACGCATGTGGCGAATGGTAAACCCCACTTTTGAAAATTTATCTATGTGACCATTGAATATCTTGTATTGCAACTATAAAATATTACATAAAAATTAATTCCTCTAAAAATCTTTGTTTTAAAAAAATCTTACGTCTTTTCCAACTTGCTTGTCCAGCAATGTTACGGATGATTTTTTGCGTATAACTTCTCTCAAAATTTCACGAACACCATCGAGGAATGATTTTATTCTATAAAATATATTTAAATACAATTCACATGTATTTATCAAAATATAAAATATAAAATATGGGACCTAAGTTTTTATTTACTCGCCGTATTTCCAAGATGAAAATTGCTCCCAAGTAGGTTTTGTTTCAGTTCCATCGATGTTTGCAATTGTCGCGATAGCTATACACAAAATTACTCCAAAAAATCGTTGTAAATACATTTCTTTTTCTTAATTTTGTCGGTCACGAATGCTATGCAGCGACTACGAAAAATTGTAAAAAATTGAAGTATATGAGGAGGTATGCAGAAGCTTCGTGATTTACTAATCAATTCTTATCAGACTTTACCAACTTGAATAGGCAATCGCGTTAAATAATAATATTACATGAAAAAGCAATTTTATGAGTAAAAAAAAATTTCCAGCACAAATTAGGGCTCGTTCATTGGATCTAGAAACGATATTTTACAAATCGAAATAGACTAGAAATTCATTAAAAAAAATTTAAGCATTTTTTGCTATCTTTTGTAGAACGATACGATTTCGGTACAAACTAAAAAGGGATCGATTCGCGAGTGTAAAAAATAAATAAGTAGAAAAGAAGCGCAGAGAAGAGAAAACAAGCGAGGAATGCAAATGAACAGCAGTATCTACTTCATTAAACAAGGCCTAATAGCCGAAAAGACCTCCCGAACAACGAAAGGCAGGTCGCAGTCGTTCTCGAGCGCGTATAACAACATATACACAGACGTACGTACACACACGTACACACAAATGTCATCGGACGCGCGTGTTATACACATGCCACGCGAGATACAGGGGGGACAGGGTGAAATCCGAATCGAGGACTTTTCGAGAAAACGAAACGCGCTTATATACAGCGACGGCATATAAAACAGGCAAACGTAAATAAAGAAAAAAATGAAGAAAAAAAAAAGAAGCTCTTGCGGGTCGTCGGCGGTTTTGCGATTTACAAAAGATCATCGTCGATCAGTAGGAGAGCGCTGCGCGCGCGCAAGCCCCACGCCCGCGCGTTGCATATTGGAAGATGCTAATCTCGGATACTTTTGCGCGTGTGTGTGTATCTGTGTGTCGCGACCGCACCGCGCAGAGAAGGACTTTTTTCGAGGGTCCCTCGCTCGCGATGCTGATTTTCGAGAGAGAGAGAGAAGCTGCCTTATATATGTTTATATGCCGCGCAATCGCTGCTGGAGAACGACCTTAAGCGAATAAGGCAAAGAGTCCTCCTGCTGACACTGCCACTGCTGCTCGTTGTTCGAAAAATATGTGTACGTACACACATATGAGACAAGCTCGGGTGCTCTCGTTTTTATATTTTTATCGCTTTTACATACTATAATGTCGGCCCTTTCTAGAGAGAGAGATGCAATTTTTCGTCTTTGTCCTTGGAAGTTTCGGAGAAAAAACGAGCCGCAAGAGCCTATGACGAGATATTTAAAATAGTAGCATTTATATTATCTCTAAGTGAACTTATTGCGATCGTATGCCGAATATTACGAGCAAATCCCTGCCTGCGATATTAGATAAGGGAAAGAAATTAGCCTAAACACATCTCGATACAAGTCCGATACGAGTGAGAAATCGGCACAACAGCGGCAAGGAATTACCTATAGTACAGGCTATATCGCAGCTTGTCCGGGGCTCTTGTACAACACAACAACGGCAAAACAAGCTGTGTGTGTGTGTGTGTGTGTGTGTGTGTGTGTAATGTATATATAGTTCAAGTGTGAGTGTGTGTGTGTGTGTGTGTGTATGTAATGTATATATAGTTCAAGTGTGAGTGTGTGTGTGTGTGCGCGCAGTGTGTGCGTCAGGTCTCGCGCTCCTTCGAAAGGATTTAAGATCCAACGGCGCTCCACCTACAATTAGAGAGGCTCCTTTTCTCGCCTTTTAAAAAGATTACGACGCCTCAACGGCAACCGTAGCAGCAGCAGCAGCAGCAGCAGCAGCAGCAGCAGCGAAAGACGATACACATTTTTTGCGCCGCTCGAGTCGTATAAATACGACTGCTTGCTATCGGCCATAAACTAGCTGATAACTCTCGTGCAAGTGAGAAAGAGAGAAAAAGACCTCTTGGAAGCTGAACTTGGTGCGCCCACGCGCGTGACGCCAATTGATCAAGCTCCCTTACGACTTATACTTTTCAATTCGAGATCGACGCGCCTGGCCACTATAAATATATGCCGCGATCCGTATAATACCCATATTTTATACGTTATCCTTAACTCTGGCCTCCCTCTTCGCCTCCCGTGTATACATTCGTTATCCTCGGATTTTTCCAGCAGGTTAATTAAGGAGATATTTTTTTTTCTTCTCCTTTTTTTGCTTGAACGGCAGCTCATATATATTTGGTAGCGATACATTTATACAGAGAGTACAAAACGTAAAAAAAAAATCGTAGAAGAAGCGAGCGCCATAATTTCATCTTCATCATTTGCCCTATCTTATAAGCAGTCGAGCTCTAGCTTTCTCTTATCGCGGCGGATGTAGCCGCGCTATCGGCAAGTTCGATCTGCGAGTGGTGGCCTATCCGCGCTCGACGCTGTGGCGGCGCTTAAACTTTGCTTCTAACGGATCTAATTCTTTTTGACGCGAAGCTTTACGTTGCGCCTGGCACACGCACACACTTCGGAGCTATTGTATATTACGTTATAGCCGTGATAATTTCGTGTGGTTTTTCGAAAAATGTCCGACGAAAAAGCTTATCGAATACAAGCTGCGGTATTCGTCCAAAGGCGCGTATACATGCGTATTTAATATGCGCATCTCGATGGAAACAAAAGGCGCGTACGTATTGGATTGCGCGTATATGCAACTGCAGCATCAAAATTAGCATCCTTGTAACATCAGTCAAAGTGGTAAAATCGCGCGGCGTTATTGTATGCCGTAGCTGCGCCGAGGCGCGGGTTTCGTCAAGCCATGCCACACTCGGCAACAATATAATCTTATCACTTTAAACTTGAGCAACGGTACGAAGCAGCACGGGCGCACGAAAAAACACCTGTAGCAGCAGCGGCAGCAGCAGTTGGTGCGTGTGAAAAGGTCAGTTTCATTCATTCGTCGGATCGCTGGCAGCATCCCGTCGCGCACACAATGGCTTTTTCGACACCGCCACACGCGCCATAGGTGCATGCGCTGTACGCGATTTTTATCTACGCTCACGCACGGTCGCTCGTCTATTCTCCTATGTGCCTGAGTAAAAAAAGCTGAAGAAAAAAAAGTTACCGAGTCGCTGTACACACGAGAACGTTGTCTATATACATACGCGTCTGGTGTTGCGCTTATGTTAGCGAAGCTCGAGAGAGGCCTAGACGAGAGAGAGAGAGAGAGAGAGAGATGCTTTTACGTAATGCATGAACTTTCGGAATATTATTACGTACGTGCGGAGAGGTGAATCGAGGCGAAAGCGAGGGCATATTATAATATACGTATATATACACGTGTGTGCTCCTCTGAATGTATATATCGCAGACGTGCGTGGGCCGATACGTGTGTACGTCTATCTCTCTCCCTGCAGAGAAAAGCGAGCCGTGCATATATATGCGCTGCTCGCCTATAGCCGAGCTGTGGTAATCGATGATGCGGAATCGATGCCCATACTGCAGCAGCAACACAGCTACGAGGCGAATCATATTATATGCATAAGAGAGCGTTTATTCGCGTTAAAGTTAAAAAAATCCCTCCGCGCAGTTGTCGAGTTAGTTGCTGCAGCCAACTTTTTCCTCTCTAGTTTGCCGTAGCTTTTGCGCGTACGTGTAATAATCGCGCCCAAGAGAATTCGAGAAGGAAATCATACGGAAAGCGGAGGTAGGCGAGTGTACGTACGGACGGCAAATAAAAGTGCGAAACGAAGCAATCCGATAGCCTGAAATTTACATCGTCTATTCCGAATACGATACACATAAAACGGCTACATATTGGCTCGAATTTGAGACACTTGATAAACATTCGCTCTATCCTCTCAAACTCGCGTATAGAGAGAGAGAGAGAGAGAAGAAATTTAGCTGGAAATTATTCTCGAGTACATATCCTCGAGAGAGACGTGTGCACGGGCCGCTTCTCTCGGTCCGCGATGCATATATATAATATAAGCTTGCACAGGCGCGAGGAGAATATAGCTCGCGGGCGCCTCCTCTCTCGCGCTCGATGCATTCATCATCCGTGGAGGTCGTCGCTTTCGAGAGCTTCTGCCTGACGTCCAAACGCATTTTCCGATTAAATAATGACGATTGCCAGACACTCGTACAGAGTAACTATATCTTCGCGTTTAATGGAAAACCAAGGAAAAAAATCTATTTATGCGTGATTAATCGTTGGCCGATTCCGCGAGCGAGACGCACGTTTGAATATGTTTGTCAAGCCTTTACACGTCCGCTTGACTGTATTTATTTATTAAAAACTAATAACTTTCCCAGTCGCGCCCAATACAAACATAAAATTTACGCTCGGAGACATAAAAACGATTGCGATCGCTCGCAACGCGACGACTAATTGAAAATGATCATTTTCATATTATATACGTTTCGAAACACGGCTTTAAGACGTAATAATTCCTTATAGACGATATTAATGCAATGCATCGATTTTTCATATTACGGTGCTGCATATGAGTTTGTATGCCTGCGGGTGCTGCTGATATTTATATACAAACACTACAAAACTCATAAAAACTAGCGTTATAAAATGTTTATGAGAAAAAAGTGGGTGAATCAGCAACGACGCCTACTGTTTATATTTTCATTAGTATAGAGTGTCAAGCGACTTTTTCTGCGATCAAAACGTGAGAACATTACCTGCTCTCTCTATATTTGTTTCCATACTTCCGATTTATATTTGAATTTAATTATGCTGCATAATATTCTTTAACCCATATTTTTTAATTTATAAACTGGTCGATTTTCTCGTAAAACTTCTAGCACACCTATATTGATTATACTAAATAAAAAAATATATAAATAATAAAGCTTACATAAGCGTAGTTGGTATTTTAAAAACTTCGAGTGCGCTACTGTATCTCTCTCAGAGAGAAAGAGAGAAAAGTTTGTTTGGTGAAAAAAAATGTTAAAATTCCAATCGCCATTGAAAGTTTCGAGTCTAATTATGGTGTCGTTGAGCGCGCACGTATGTATAAGGTAGAGCAGGCAGCAGCAGTAGCAGCAGCATCTCTCTTTCTCTCTCTCTTTGGAGCAAAACGAGCATCGTGATATACATTGCCGACTTGCAGAAAAATAAAAGTAAAAGAAAGAATAAAGGGTTAAATAAGGCCCGAGCGCGCTTTAATCCCACCCTTTTCTCCCTCTTCTCGGGCAGTCGAGAAACGCCCGCCGCAGCATCTTTTGCAAATCAGCGCGGCTTTACGAATAGAGCGAGCGAGAGCAAGAGAGAAAGAGAGAACAAAAAAAAGCTCAAATGTCTCGTATGCATATATATAACGCAAGTTTAAAAAGGAGCAAAAGACTTTACGCGTGCGTGTGTAGTGCGTAAGACGGCGGCCAAAGCTATTCGCGCTGCAACAACCTCCCTCTCTCTCTCTCTCTTTCTCTTTCTTTCTTTTAAACGATCGTGTCCGTGCGCGCGCGCGCGCGTAGCGCGGATTTTTGCCGCGCGCAGCACATGCATATAAGCTTTCTCGGGAGAGAGAAAAAGAGAGAGAGAGAGAGAGAAGAATGAGAGGAAGCGCGCCTCCTTTGAGATATATCTCTCCTGCCCTGCGACTGTATGTGTGTTTATATAAACTGCAGCAGCGGCCGCACGAGCCGTGTATATTATATAGCTTTTTCGCTGCTGCATCTTTACTCCTCTGTACGCAGCATCTGCCGCGCGCTCGAGCCTTCGAGCTCGCTCGTTCGCGCGCCTCCGACCATTATGTAGACCAGCTCTCTCTCTCTCTCTCTCTCTCTCTCTCTCTCGCTTGCGCGCGACCAAACGCATTCATAATGTATATGTATGTGTGTATTTCTCCTTCGTTTTATCCACTCTTTAACTTGTTTCCGCCGAGCTTTTATCCACGCCAGCAAAAATGTCACCTGTACGTGTATTATGTGCACTGGCTGCGGAGCCCGAGCTGCAATCGCCTGCGCTTTACCGTGTATCTGTATGCATCGCCGCGCTTTTCTCGGAAATTCTACGTTTGGAAGCTACACGAGAAAAGAGAGGGATGACTGTATATGCCGAACGAGCTCCCGTCCAGGCCTCGGATGGCTCGAGATATGAACTTTTTTCATTTCATCCGCGATTAATGAATTATAATTAATGAATTATATTGCGTCGAGTCGATCGAGCTTTTACTCACTGAGCTTGCAACGTTTCGGAATTTTTCATTCGCGTTATCTCCCAACAATCGCCGTGTCAATTGTTACATCAAATTACGAAAACCAAATTTTGATCCATCCTCGAGAAAAGATTCTATTTACATGAAAAATTGTCACACACATAAGAGTGCATGTGAACCTATGAAATATTATTGGATTACTAAAATTTTTGAATACGAGTGTATAATATAGTTGGATGTAAAGGACGATATAAAATATATGTAGATCTATGTTTCGATTTTATGCTCAAAACCTCCCAGGAATTACTTTCATAGCAAACTTATAAATATTATGTGTTGCGATTTCACGTATATATGGGCGCCGAGTTTACATGTTTATATCGACGCTTTCCCTTCTTGCATTATGCACCACACAAACACTCGTAATTACCATTTTTAAGCTTTGTGGAAAATAATTTTAAAAACTTTAACTCGTCGAGTAATTTGTAATCCAGAAAAAAATGTACCATTTAAAAGAAATTTATTCAGTCATGTTAATGATCGACCGGTATCACAGAGTCGTAGGTGTACTTCGATCTTGAGTTTTCGTTAACACGATCGACAACTAGGGACCATAGATCGCTGATTTGTATGGTGATCTCACTCGAGATAATTTCTTCAAAATCCCTGAAAATATTTGGTTCATTTTTCCGTTCAAGATCGTTGCGGCCTTCCATAAAAATCTCCACGGCACTGCGAAAAAAGCAACAATTTGAACAATACGATTTTTAAATAAAAAACATCAATAGAAATTTTTATCTACTGACCCGTTATTAAAATCAATTTTCGAAAAAAGTAGAGTCTTGCTACTACTATCTACTTCAATGTTAGTGCTAACATTCATTGGCTCGATCGTGCAACGAATTTTTTTAGGCTCATCATCTTCATTAATTTTGTAATCGTAATTTACCTAACATAACAATCATGCATCAGTAGATGATTAAAAAACTTAATCTAATTATAAAAAATTACCTCAAGTTTTGGCCAATAAAAAGATACTGTTACGACAAATCTTCCGCCTGTCCGTATGTGGTGAAAGGAGTTTCCCACTACAGAAAATCTATCCATATGACCATTAAATAAATTGTATTCCAACTATGAAATATTTACATAAAAATTAATACGTCTGCTTTTTAAAAAAAAAATTCGTTTTAAATAAATCTTACGGTTTTTCCAACTTGCTTATCCATCAAGGATATAGATGGTTTCTCATGCAATTTTACTGCCATAATATCAAGAACGCCTTTAAGGAATGATTGTTCACTAATAACATATTAAAATACAATTCAACCGTAATTTTAAAAATAAAGTAAGTTTTCTAATTTTTTACTTATACTTTTTGAATCGCCAAGATGAAACTTGTTCCCAAGTAGGCTTATTTTGATATCCATCGGCGTTTACAATGTACGCGATAGCTATACACAAAATCGCTGCGAAAAAACGTTGGAAAAACATTTTTTCTTTTTAGTTTCGTCGGTAAAGAATGCTATAAAATGACTGAAAGAAATTTTAATGTATAACCAAGTATGTAGGAGTTTCGTGATTAACTAATCAATTCTTATCAGGCCTTACCATCTGAAGCTCATGTAGACGATATATTTTTATTCCACCAATATTTAAAATATAATAATGTAATATAACATGAGGCAAACATATTTATATCGACGCTTTCCCTCTTGCAGTAAGTACCACAAGAACACTCGTAAAGATTTCCAAAGTACCTAAACTTTGTGCTAACGATTCATGGCATTTATAGATAATCTATCGTAGTCGCAAGGATTTACATGAAAAATATTACTTGAAAAATATTAAAAAGAAAAAAAAATTCACAGCCCGAACAACGAATATTCAATTATAATCGGATAGGATGCATTTGAATACGCACGAGCGACTGTATGATATTACTCTGTATTTATATAAATTTAATTATAAAAAAAGAATCGAAGTAAAATGATTCGCTATCGCGGCCCATCGTCCTTATACCATTCGCTCGCATTACTCTATGTTTTCTCTTTTCTCTCTTTCCATACACATATATATATATATTCTCTGAACGTGCCTACACATATAGAGGCAAGGTTTGGTAGGCAAAAAGAGCACAGGCCAGCTCGGCAGCAGCAGTAGTACCTCGGAAGAATAAAAAGAGTAAAAAGAGAAACGGGCCCCGCCGCGAAGAGACAACATAAAGATTTAAGACTCGACGATGTGCCAATAAACATGCTGGGGGCCTCTGCTTCTGTTCCCTTACTCTCTTTTAGCACTGCCGACGCCGCCGCCGCCGCTGCTGCTGCTGCATCTGTAAAGATATAGGATATACGCGACGCGGTCCGGAGGATGGCAGTGGCGGTGGCAGCAGCAACAGCAGAAGCAGCAGCAGCAGAGAAGGAGAAACTGCTGCAACAGCAGCATTATACACACTTATAGACTCACATATCTTTTGCGAACGCGATGCAAATAGTGCGTTAGTCGAGAGAGAAAGAGAGAGAGAGAGAGAGATCGAAAAAAAGGAAAAAAGCTACGGAAGAAGAGGAAGAAGTAGAAGCGGAGGAACAGCGAGAGAAGAAGATAAGGGGACAATGCTGGAAAAATACCATCGAGGAGGTACACACATGCACAGCGAAGCCAAGAGTCGTATACGTATAGTAGGCTGCAGAGCGAGCAGTGGCCGTGCTTATGTCGAGCTCGCGCGACGTCACTTTATACACCGCGTGCGCGAGAAGATGTATATATGGATGTAGACTTTGCTCGCTCGTTTGCAAAAAAAATAAGGCGGCCTCCTGAACGAGGACTTATTTATGGAAATAATAGTCGAGTTTGAGAGGCGCAGGACCGCCAAAGTCTTTCGTCTGGCAAATAAAATAGCCTCGGAGATCTGTGCTATTTTTCGTAAATCGAATTGATACAAGCATTATTAGAACAAATTATAAGAACTGCTTACAAATGGCATATAAGCAAAGAGATGATAGATGTAAGCGATCCAAACAATAATTCAATAGTTTCCTTTATTGTTGAATTAATAATTAGGTTTTGAAAAGGTCAAAAAATGTCTGCAAAAACACGATCGAATTTTGTTAATCAACTGTTAATTATTCTTCCGGGCTTGGATCGGTCCAAATTCTCGTTAGCTCGCGCTATTTAGGCTTGTCTTGGTAAATGTATAAAACTCTACATAAATATATTCAAATTTATCCAATTGCCATCCGAGGCGCAACTCTTTAGGAGCCGTTTTACGTACGTACATATAAATATAATGCATACAAAAGCGTACGCGCGCCCTCAAAGGTAGACCGTGTAGAGTTATGCAGAAGCTGCATGCTCTTCTCGGTGCACCTGCGCTCGCGCACCTCAACGAGCCATATATACGCGAGTACAGCCAGAGCAGCCGCGCTACGCGTAAATATGCATATCTCTCGCTAGCGAGGATATTATAAGGATGGTTCATGATACTTACCAAGTCTATGGGGAGGATGGATGAAACAAAAACAAAATTGAATCAGAAGTAAAACAAAAAAGGTAGAAGCTTTTCCGTGTGCACGCGAAGGGCTACGCCACCGCATGCGTATACTTATAATAAGCACGCACACACGTACGAGCGGCAAAATTATGTGCGTAATAACATTAAGTTGCTAACGAATTTGAACGAGCTTTCGACTTTGTTTCGCCGTGATCTTGTTGAGTGGCTGCGCCGTGACTTTTTTTCTCGAGACTTCATCTGAGCACGAGAATATTAGATTTTGAATCTATTGCAAGGTTCGAAGAGAATCATGCGAGATTTTAAAGTCGTAGAAAAAAAATTGAATATATTTGTAAATGTTGACGTTTGTTGAAATAATATCAACAAAAAATATATAAGATGTAAATTAGACGACAGAGGGGGAGAGATTCAAGGTACGAGCAGTACCGATCGTTGTATGCATTAGCAATCATTACATCATTATTAAGGCCCCGATGGAGACTTTAACTGATGTGTACCGTATACACAGAAGCGCCGCAGCTCAGAGGATCGAAAGCGATTGACGAGATCGCGTCAGCGGTGCCAAGAGAGAGGCAAGAGATACGATACTCGATTCGACCGTTTGTGTCGCTATACGCGCACACCGAGTCGCTATTATATGGCTATAAATGTTGCCGTGAAGATATTCGATGGACAAACGTATAAGAAGGGAGACATAGAAAATCGTATTGTTGCGGTCTGAGACTTTTTTGGCCCTTGCAACAGCATTAACACTGCATATAAATATGATGAATTTTTATCATTAATGTCGGTAATCTGGTTTTTAGTTGATGTTGCGACAAGTAAACTGACCTCGCGTTCAAAGCCATCTGAATCTTCTAATGCTATACCATAAAAGTAATTAATTAAGTGGCCACCTGTACTTAATTCTCCAAAAACGGTTCTGGACCAACTTATAAAGTTTTCATCATGTATGTAGAACCTGTAAGTGATTAAATGTTCCATTTTTATTTCAGGTAGTTCATTAATCATTGGATAGATTGATCATACAAATTTATAGGAACATTCGTATTTCGATGCTTATTTTTCGAAAAATTTTCCGATTTCATGAAATATTTTGTATTTTCATAACACTCGTTATGTTACGGTTTTAATGAAACATTATTGTGTTCTTAATAACTATGCTCACCCGTCTGTAACGTTGTTTATATTATTGTATTATTTATATTATGTAGCGAAAAAATTACATGTGTAAATCATCAGATGATAAATCGTCTGAAACACCATAAAAAATTATGCCAAATCATCATCTGACTTTAAGACAATAAATAAATGAATTTCTATAAGTTGTCGATGTTTAAATTTATATTCTCGTTTGAATAACATGAATGCAGGAAAAATTTTAAAAATAGAGAAAAATAAATTCAGGATTAGTAACATCGTTTTCAAAATGCTTAACATATGATTTAAAGCAAATATTAAAATAAGATTTAATATATTTTTTATAATTAATATTATTTGTATAATATAATCAAATAAAATAATGAGCCATAAAATTACCTGCATCCTCCAAAGAACAAAGAAGTCTTGGAAATAATCAAAGAACACATGTTCATTTTTCCAACATTTTTAGGACCATCCATGACCCATTTTCAGTAACCCAAAATTTTCCTACAGAAGAAGAAATTTCAAAGGTCTCTCTGAAAATAGGTTCATGAAGTGGTTTTCGAAATAAAAGTGAAGATTTTTGAATGAAAAAAAGTAGGTACCAGATGCTACCGAAAATTGTTCGGCGAAGATCTGTTACTCGGAGGTGGGAGAGTCTTTTCAAAATTGAAATCCCTAATATTTGAACCCTGTAGATTCATTTCTTAAGAATCGACAGAGGCTCCAGGTTGAATTTTCTAAATTTTCTAACTTTTATTCTTCTTCCTCAAGACAATCATGGAAACATTTTTGAATAAATCAGGAAAAATACATAAAAATGAGAGAAACGAAATAGTAACCACTGGTAAGGGCGATAATTCAAATTCAATCGAAAATAGTGCTGATCGGTCGAAAATTTTATCGACTTTGAAACTCTTCATACCAATTCAATAACTGTTGTAATCGAACTTCACTCATAGCTAAGTTCGTTTGGTTTTTAATAAGAATTCATACTGATTAAAACATTACGGGACTTCAGTCTAAAAGACCTCCGTTTTTCATTTAAGCGCCTTGAGTGATCAATTATTGGTATACATTTGCCTTTTAGTAGACGCATCTGTACTTCCCTTTATTTAAAGTACCCACAGCACTCGTACAGTACAGAATTGGCACTGCTACGTATATATCTCTCGGGCATGCTGCAACTGCAGATAAACATCGAGAGGACGAAATGTACGGCTGACATTATATGTGGCATTAACATACAAAGTATGTCAGAGGCTCGTTCGGCAGCAGTCCCACAGCAGAGCCAACCTATCGTCCACTTGGGCATGCAGAGGCACCGCGAGAGCACATATAATAGGTGCTACCGATCGTCTCTGACGCGGTATAAGATAGATACCTATATGTAAAGGATGCGATAGGCGTGAGAGCTCGTCTTACACACATAAACCTAACTCGGTACCAAGAAAAAAAACGTGAATCTAGTGAAGTAGGGGCTCTGCCTATGCCAACCTAAGTACCCTCGTTATTATTAACGGCATACTCAACATAAGGATAGCCCCTACTAATTTACATTTATATTTTAAGATTATTCCCGAATTAGAATCCTTATAAAGTGTACAGTACAGACCCCACCCAAACTCACCCATCTCGCGTCTTTTTCATTTGTATATGTACAGCATATAAATCTTATCTTTCTGAACCTCTTATTTTCTCTCTTTCTCTCTTCTCCATTTTTATCCGCGCACTATCTTCTCTTTGGACGCGATCGTACTTGCTTTATATAGAGAGAGCTTTTTTACATTTCTTTTCTACCTGTCGTTTAAATGGTTGTATATACGCGCAAATATTGGCAGGATAAAAGAAACGTATTTACGCAGGTGACACTTGGATGCAAGGAGAGAAGGAGAGAACTTCCCATGCCCGGACAGTGTAAAATATTTATAAGCGTGTATAGGCAGTACACGTTTGAGTTTCGTGGGCTGTTCACCATTAGCTGTTAACTTGGCAAGTTCAAGATGTTGTGAATGCACGAGTTATCAGCTTCAAAAATTCTTGAATGATATTCAACTATTAATAAATATTTCAAATTTGATAATCAAATTTCTTAATTAAAAGAAGTAATTTGTAAATATTTCATAGAAATATTTCTTTGAAATACGAGATTTTATTACTCAGGTGCATAATTTATATAAAAATTTCAAATTTAATATTTAAAATTGTCTTAACGTATATAATTAAATAAACTCTAACAGCTAAATCTTAAGTTGTCCAATATAATACACTATGAACAGATTCAAAAGTGTTGTACTTGGTACAAGATAACAAAGAATATTATTTTTAATACTATGAGTAAAAATTATTTGTGTTGCTTAATTTTAAGAACTTCTATTTATATGAATTAAGTAACCTTTGGCTGATAATACACCTCTACATTTGACATGTACTTGGTAGCGTACAACCCAGTTCAATTCAGTTTGCTCTCCAAAAAATTCAGTTAAGGATTCTTTTGTTATTATTGCTGTAAAAAGTTCATTACATTGTATTAAATTTTCATAATCAATGAATAAGTTAGTTATAGAAAATATTTTAACACTTACGATCAGGATCACTATGTGTCAATAATTGTATGTCATTTTGTTTGGTGAATTCTTGTAGAGCCGGAGGAACGACACAGCATGTTGCAAGATTAATCTGAATAATATTTGGTTTTATCTAAAAATAATAGAAAAATAAATGAACTTCATGACTTATTAAGATAACTTTTTACAGATAGTTCTCTTACATTTGCCCAGTTATAGAATTGTATAAATTTATCTGTATCTACATCACTAACACCAATACTGACAAGCCTTTTATTATTATGATATTCTTCCAACACTTTCCACAAATTTTGTAATACGGGCAATATATTATCTCCAGTTTCTTCTTTTTCCAAATGTACTACCAAGGATTCTATAACTTCAGTATTGAGCACCTCAAAAACTAAAATACAACATGAATTAAATTTTAAGTATCGAACAATTTTACTATTCTGAACAAATAGATTTTTATTTATATATTATTTATATATTACCTCTATCAAATGCTTCTCTTAGGTTTGTTGGATCTAATTTGCTGAGCAATACTTTCACAGCTATTTTTAGCTCTTTTCTATCTAAATTTTCAGAATTAATATTGGCATCATTGGGCTTCAAAATAATGATTACATTAAACCATGATAAATTTTGTATTACATTTAAATGAAAAAGTTTATGCACTACATACAATTTCTGTTGAGTCACCTTTGCTTTTGAAATCACTCAAGATTATTTTCAAAGCTTCTGACAGCTAAAATCAGACATAAAGTTTTTAAAAAAAATTCTTTTTACTAAATAATGTAATTAACTAACAAACTATCTTGACAAAAAATGTGTACCTCATCTCTTGAATTTAAACCAGCTTTCTTTTTCAACTCGTTATACTGAAGGATATTTCCAGTGCTGTAAAAGTTTCTGCTTGACATTTCTGCAATTAGATTTAAAAAATGCCTCACGAAAACTGAAACACTTGCCAATAGCACAGGTGCAGAGACTCAATGAAACTTGGCGTAACGCGGAAATTGCTAGATAATGATTAAAATCACGCGTTTTTAAAAAAATGTCAATGGAAGTGACTTGCACGTTCTTAGCGCACAGCTTATCTTTTCAACTGAAGTGTGTATAATGTTTGCGCTACTTTATGAATAACCTTGAATTATATTAGTTTCGCATATCCTGTTTTAAAATGTTTATAGTGTTGCCACGGTTATTACAAGCCACGAGAAAGAGGATAGACTCGTTAATCGGACGATCTTCAACAAAATAAAAAAATGGCTTTAACTGACAGGATGTAATAAAAAAAATTTAATGGTTATAAATAATTATTTCGCACATGTGCTCGGAATGTGTATGAGGAATTGCACTAATACTATTAGATTTCATATCAGTAGATGAATCGTGACATTTCACAACAAACACATGGCGCCCTCACGATGAGACTTCATTAACGATACTTTTCAAAAACGTTCGGAAAAATAAAATTTTTATTGTTCATGACGAAAATTTCGTTAACGATTTGATTTTTAATAATTGTAATTTGTTTTATAACTTGAATAAATAATTATTCAACCATAAATATACAGTGCACCAAAACCAATAGATAATAAAAAAGTTAGTAATTATACAATGAGCTTTCAATTATTAAACGACAACAAGTTCAGAATATTGATATTCTTTTTCAATTGATGAATTATTAATTTTTCAAAGTAACTCAATTGACAATTCATTCAATATGCAAATTGTATGTGTGAACTGTGATCGCAGCGACGCTATGATACGCTCGAACATTTATAGGTACTATTTTACCGATGTTAGTATTGCAGATTGAGACTGCTTGACATTTCACGGCTTATATTATTGCTATTTCGCGTGATTACTTGGCAAAAAGTAACAAGACCCATACGATTTTGTCACACACCGAAAACCGATTACAGATTGTCAATTCGTAATTTTACATCGTGCGATACGTAAACATGCCACTCGATCTTCCAGGATTTGCTTATGCAGCTTTTGTTGCAGCCGGTGGAATTATGGGTTATGTCAAGTCCCGTAAGTGTTTTGTTATAAGCTGAGATTGACAAGTGTTTTGGTTCTTCAGAGTCAAAGTTGTTTTCACATTAGCTCTTGTTGAAACGATGATTGTATGATAAATTATCTTTCATATAGAATCAATTCCATCATTGGGAGCAGGACTATTATTTGGTAGCATCATAGGATATGGAGCATACCAAACTACGCAAAATCCTCAAAATTATGGAACTATTTTGGGTAGCAGTGCTGCACTTGGGGGAATGATGGGTTATCGATTCTATAATTCTGGCAAAATCATGCCTGCAGGACTTCTTGCCGCAGTCAGGTACATTATTTAATATTTTTGAAATGGTTTCTATTAAGTTTTAATCAAGAATGTAATTTGAAAAATATTTATTTTTCAGTGCCGTGATGGTTCTCAGATATGCATCAAGAATTCTTAATTCATCACAGTCTGTAAAAATGCAATAATCATATTTAAATCTGTAACTCTTGAATGTTGCGATATAACAAATTGTATGTAAGTTGGTTGTATTTATTATGAATTTTATAATCATGTGCATGGTATAATTTTAAAGTTATCAAATTATAATACATTTTAATAAAAGCCTGAAGCAAAATTTATTATTAAACAATTTAATCCTTTCGACACAAAATATATAATATACTAATGGTGTTCAACATTATGCATACAAATCAGCCGCTAAATTCACTTCTTTTCTTCTGAAACTTAAATAAAATTACAATAAACTAAAAATTCATTTAAAAAATAACAAACTTTATTGAATCTAAAATATTTACAACTAAACAAGTTAAAGTAATTGTTAAAGTTCTTAACGATCCTCTCGCACAACATGCTTTTCTCTTTCGGCAACAAAAGGAACTGAACCTGGCTTTGAATGACGACGACGATTGGATTCTCTGTAATAGGAATGGAAATATAATTTATAGAATAAGAATTAGACATAGATGACTGTATAAAAGTAAACTACAAAAAGAACATACTTTCTCTTTTGACTCTCCGTAATTGTACGATGCTCGTTTCTTGCGTTGAAAATATGTTTGGGAAGTTTTCTATGATTTGCAATACGTCGTACTTGTGGATGAGCTGCAAACTTTTCTTTCAAAGCTTCGCTATAATTTAGAGCAGCTTTTTCTCTTGGTTTCAACTAAAATGCAATGAGAAAAATTTTAACATGAAATTGAAGTTGACTCAAATATATTGTTGTCAATTTTTTATAATAAAATAAATTGATCTATAATACTAACCACTCCCAGTTTTTCTGAACTCTTAGCTTTCCAAATTCGAATATTCATCTCATCACTTCCACTAAGAATATATTTGCTATCACTTGTCCAGGCAACACAAGTGAGTCTCTGCATTCTTCTATTAGTGTAAACTTCACGAGAATGACCTTTCTGTGTTTCAAATATTCTTACTGATCTATCATATGATCCAGAAACAAATTCTCTGCCATTTGGGTTGTAATCAACATCTGTTACTGCATTCACATGATCCTTATGAACATTGACAGGTGTTTTCAAATTACGTGTGTCATATGTATACAAACTAAAAATTAATATAGACTTAGTTATTGGAACAATTTACAATTTCATATTTAGCAAAATAAGTTACTTACTTGTAATCTTCACTAGCACAAGTAAAAGTAAATGCTTCCATAGGATTCCAGGCCATTTTGTTTGCTCGAAGTCTCATGATGACTCTTCTTATAGCGCCTGCAGCTCTTGTATCATATAATATGATGCTGCGATCGCTAGCACACGAAGCTAACAAATTAGTTTGCACTTGATTGAATTTAACATCATGTAAACTGTCAACTCCCCATTTAAAACTATTTATAGGTTCATTTCTAGTTTCTTCCCACAACTGACAAACTTCTCCACAGGTAGCAAACATTGGATCTGTACGATGGTGTGAAATAGCAGTAATTATCGTCTGTAAATTACCAATTATGGTCAAATAATTATTCATATGTAAGTAAGATATATTTGGTATTTTTTAAAAAAATTTAAAACTTTTACATTGTGATATCATTACTAACCTTACTCAAAACTGTATTAGTTGGTTCATCTTGTTTATCTTCTTTAGGGTTTTCACAACTCCAAGTCTTGATTGTTTTGTCATCACCAACGGTCATGAAACTCTGACTGCCAGGTGAATATGTGATACCTCGAACAATTCCATCGTGGGCCAAAATTGTGCGCATGCATTCTTTTCTAGGCAAATCCCATACTTTGACTTCGCCATCGAAACTTCCACTTATCAAAATTTGCAAACGACTAGGATGTTTACATATGGATGACACTGAATCTTTGTGTCCATCCAAATTTCCAATAAAAGGTTTGGCAAACACTTTATCGAGTTTAACGGCGTTCAGAGCCCTTGTGTACTCTCTAGGAGCTTGGAAAGGATGCAATGCTGGATCATAATTTCTTGGGACTGAAAATTGATTTTAATTCAAAAATTTAGTTTGTTTTGTAGTTGAATCTTTTCGGTGAAATTCTTTACAGATATGAAATTAATAGAATTCAATTTTAAGGTTAACATTGTGTTATGAATTAAATTATTTACCTTTGTGGATGTCCAATTTGGTCTCACGCAAATGTTCGTCAGGGTTTCTACTCAAAACTTTCACCTTCATTTTTCAATTATTTTATTTATCAATTATAAACACTACAAGCAACTGATCACACGTGCACACCAAGTTTGATTCCCATGTGCGAGCGGTATTCCGTAAGTGACTGCTCAATGTGAAACTTACACCGTTAGTCGGTTACTCAGCCGATGTCGCTACTTGCTGCTAGAAAACACTCCATCAATGGATTTTTGTGCAACGTTTTACTGATTGCGATTTCAAAGAAATTTCACGAGAATAAAAAAATTTATAATTTTGTCATTTTGAATGAATAAAAAATTAACTCAACGTGCTTAAAGAAGTTTTACTACAGAATTTATTACATATTTAAAGTTGTAATGTTTTGAAAGTACGAATATTTCAACAAACGTTTCGAACGAGAGAGCAGACGAATTTACTAGCCGTCATTATACTACCATGCGATCGTAATTTTAGGTGGAAAATACAAGGTAAACAAACATGTCAGAAGCAAATTCAAAAAGCATCGAAGAAATTCAAGCTGAAAATCAACAAATCTTAGAAGAAAAGCAGAAACTTATTGACCATGCTCCCTTTGAGCGTTTAAAAATTGACGATGCCAGCTGTCTCGAGACAATAGAATCCAGAGAGATCTGTGGCAAATGTTTCAAGTCCCGGAAATTTTTTTGTTATACCTGCTACACACCTGTCATCGACGAAAAATATTTACCACGACTTAAGGTATTTTAACTAATTATTATTGTGGTCCATCTGAATTTATGATTTAAAATTGAAGGATGACAATTATTTTAGCTTCCGATTAAAATTGACATCATCAAACATGCCAGAGAGATAGATGGTAAGAGTACTGCAGCCCATGCTGCTGTACTTGCCCCAGAAGATGTGAAAATTTACATCTATCCTGAGTTTCCAGAAATTTCAAAAGATGAAAAAGTGAGTCTTTTATGATGAGTGGTAAATTTATTATATTTATATTTTAATGATCAAACTCAAACGAAATATGTTTTAATGAATATTAGGTAGTTCTAATTTTTCCCAGTAAGAATGCTATGAGCATAGAAGATTTATTCAAAAGAAAGAAAGATGAAGATGGTCAAGTAGTTTTTGAAACAATAAAAAATCAATTTCCAGTTACCAGAGCAATATTTATTGATAGTACGTGGCATCAAACTAAGTCAATATACAAAGATCAGAGACTACGAGGTTTGTTTTAATAAAAATATTAAAAATTCTACAAATAAACTTCATTAAATTTAAACTTTTATTACAGACTTACCATGTGTAGTACTCAAATCTCGCATTTCGCAATTTTGGAGGCATCAAAAAAATAGTCCAAGATGGTATTTGGCAACCGTTGAAGCATTACATCAATTTCTACTTGAATTACATACAAATGCCTTTGGAATAGTTGAGAATTATGTAAAAACTGAAACAGATGTCTCAAAAACATCAAAAACTGTTACAACAGAGTCTGATTTATGTGGGCCTTACAATGGACAATATGATAACTTATTATATTTTTTCAAATTTATGTATGAAACTATACATCGCTACTATGATCATGAAAAATTGTGGGCCTATAAAAGACCTTTAATATAAAATTCATTTATTAAATTAGAAAATATATAAACTTATAGTATTGTTATGTAAAATTTGAAATTTTATAGAAACAAGTTCTAATTGCTGAAATGAAATTCATGATTTATTCTATATTTTCAATAAAGTTATAAAAAACAAATGAAAGTATTTTTATAACCATAAAAACATAATTTCAGTAACTTTTATTGAAAAATTAAAAACAGAAAATTATTAATTATGAAATGTTAAAATTATATAAAAAATGGAAAACTTTCACAATGGTAAAACAAATATCGCATTTAAAAAACAAATTTTATTGAAAGCAAAAGTATTATAATTTTATGCAACTCATAATAATTACAATTAATTTTCAGATACTAAGCAATTAAAATCATCAAGTAGCATAGAATTTTTCAAGCAATTAAGAGAGTACCAGGAACAACTTGAATGTGTAGAAAAATTATCCCTTAAAACAACAAGCAGTAATGCGACAAATCATGCATTTGAACAAATATTAAATTTATCAACAAGTACTATCGGTGAACCAAATAGTCAATCATTTGAGTCGATAAGAAGTTCATCAACTGCAAACTTTTTAGAAAATTTATCTGAAAAAAGTTTATCAAATAAAGGTGATGGTTCAATGACACATGAAAACATTTCATCTCATAAAGAAATACCAGTGCAAATTCAATTAGAAGGTATTCCCCTGACACTTCTTGTACGTGTCCCAAATAGTGCTTTCAGCATAATACAAGAAAAGTTGGCGTGTAATGATGTGCTATATTCTTTGTCTCAAAAATCAATTATAAAAACAGTAAAGTCCAAAAAATCAAGTTTTTTTTCATCGTTTCAAAAATTATTTAAAAATAAAAAGAAAAATATACATGAGTCCACCAGTAACAATGATAAAAAGAAAAATATTCCAGTGGTTAATCATCAAAAAGAATATTCTTTAAATTTTTCTAAAAAAGACTCTATTCAGAGCCATCCAACTGTTGATTTAATTCATCAGAGAAGTATGAATGAAAGTATATTTGATCCTAATTCGACTGCATCAAAAGATACTATATCAAATCTCTCAACTATACTGAAAGAAAAAAGAACAGATACTTTGATTGTATCAGAAGACGTAAGATCAAATTTTTCAACTATAACAGAAAATAGACCAGATCTTCAGACTAGATCAAAGCCTGCACTTATTTGCACTGAAAGCGAGTTTGATGGAAAACGAAGTAATTCTCTGCACCCAAATGTTATGATAGAGCATAAAGTCATTCCAAATGATAATAAGGCTTCAGGCTCATTTTCCATTAAAATAATAAATCAAGTTCCCATACAGCCTTCAGATAACAATGAGCCATCAATAACAAAAATAGGAAATGAAAACTTGAAAGAAAAAAAAATTCAACCAAAAGAACAAACTTTAGATAGTTTAGAGAAAATTTTAATGAGAACTACTGAAAAATTAAATGAGTTGGATAAAATGAAACTTCTTATGGAAAATATTGAAAAGGAATTGATAAACAAGAAATCCAAAAAAAATGTAAATGTTTCAATAAGTCACAGCAAAAGGACACTGAAATGCGACAGTTTAAAAGATGGTGTTGTAACCGATGTTAATTATATGAGAAAGGACGTTAAAACGAAAAAAAATTACGTAACACAGGTAATTGTATCCTAATGGTGAAATAGATTTATTATCAGCATAAATAATAATGAATGCTATTTTATTTATTAGAAATTGAGCAAACAGTCTTCAAAATTTAGTATTTGTTCCAATGGAACTGTTTCAAGTGACGAAGAAGACTTTGAGTTTTCTCGCGAGCAAAAAATAAAGTTCTCCGAAAAATTCAAACAGTGCCGTTGTCCTTCTATGATCGGTTACAAGATTTGTCGCTGCGAACGAGACGTCACTCATCAGTGCAATTGTACAAGCAATCGAAAACATGAAAAAAAAATAAAACTGCAATGCTAATCATGATCTTCTTGTTTAGCTTTTTTCGATTTTTGTACTTGGACGTACAGTTTCGAAGTACGCGCTCATAATAGCAGCCCACGCATCAGCACATCCCTACCCCTAAGCATCAAAACAAAGCTTATCACTGCAGCAACTTGCACGTCGCAGTATTATGTTAGACTTTAGACCTCACGTTTATATCATAACAAGCTTCGGGCTTCGCTCGTAGGGGAAAAGAAGAAAAAAAACAAAGCCCCTGTATCGAAATTCCAACAGCGTGTGTGAATTGTGAACTCCGACATTTGCCATTTTGATAATAAACTTTCCTCTTGCGACGCGACAAGTGTCAGACAAGACGACGACAACCGCAAAACATCATGAATCTCAACCCTACCCTTTTGCCTTCGACAAGAAATTCGATCAAGCTAATAATTCGTAATAATTTATGCGTAACATGACGATCAGTCGAGGCAGATCAACATTGCTAATGAGGAGTTCATATTGCCGCAGGTTATGTCGGAGTCGAGCGATAACGATATTATGTACGAGGGCCTGGCCCAACATCAGGATGAGCTCCTGCACCTGTGGCACGGAGCCGACGAACTCGAATTGCAGTTCGATGCGAGCTCATCGATACTTGAAGGCCACGTCACGAAGCTACGTAGCTGTCAAGACAGATTGTTTATAAAAACAACCAGTGGGACTTTGTACTATGGTGACACTGTCCAAGCACAAGAAAATGACAAAAGATTTTTGGAGCTGAAGAAAAGTCAGTTTAACGTGATCGATTTGGCCACTAACAGCAAGCACTTGTTTCTAGTTCTAAACAATGGTAGTGCAGTGACAGTTGAACCTAGAAGTTTAAAAGTAGTTGATACTGTCGTTATTAAAGATGATGTAAAATACTGCATTCATGGGTACGTTGACCTTTGAACAATAATAATTTACTGTAATGTCATTGTTTTTTTCATGAAATACTTGGAATAATTTTTTTATTTCTGTTTTGATACACAGATACAAACAAGACAACGAAGCAGAAAAGATAGTTGCCATAGCAGTCAATGATAATGCATCTCTATTTTTAACAGATAATGGTCAGTTATGGGTCACAGGTGATCATCCTCAGATTGACATTCAATCTCAGGTGCCCAAAAAAGTAAATTTTTTTGATGGAAGAGTCATTTCAGATATTGCTTGTGGCTCAAGTTTTTATGTAGTTCTAGTTAGAAAAGTACCCAGATCTTCATTAGCTCACAAAGACGATGCTGATAGCAATAATGAATCAGATGAAGTATTTGTCAGGTCGTGTTCTCAGTGCCTGAACAATCTGTTGCCTAGTCCATTAAGCCTTAATTTGTCAGGATCAGGTACAACAAAAGCTCAGAATATATCACTCACAAAAGAAGTTAAATCTTTTGATTCTAATACAAGTAAGGATGACGTTTTTCGCACAGTCGAAAAAGAAAAACCTACTAAAAAGTCCATCGATTCGACGATTGATAGTGAAATTAATGACGAGGAACCAACGGAGCCCGACAAAGATCCCAAACGAAATGTAATTCTTATTAATACGGAAGCAGCTAAGCACTTTTTCACTCGGCAATTGTCCTGGGTTTCGACATACAGTGGCGGTGGCAGCAAAGACGATGCATCCTGCACAGACAACGTTAATAACGACAATCCCGCGGCCAGTCTGATCAAGCAAAACGTCTCAAGTGTGGCGAATCTCGTCTACGAGGGTGTGAAAACGGTCGGCGACAAAGTAGCTACGCTGTCGAGGCACGTGAGTGGCAGCTCGGATCCCAACGAGATCGCGCGGCCCGACGCGGACGACGAAAATTTCGAAGAGCTGGAAATAGACGAGTTGTACCCAAAGAAGAGCTGCTTAGCCGTTGCTACGACTCCGGGTAGCCTCAACAGTTCCACTTCGTCGGAGCACGATCTTCTCCTGCAGTATCAGCGATGTCCATCGGAGCGCATCAATCTTTTGGTACGATCCGGCAGCAGTGCTCTCAATACGGAGCTCTGGACTTGGGGTGACACCAAGTACGGACAACTCGGTGGTAACGATGCAGCAACGACGACGAGGCAGAGGCCAAGACAAGTCACGATGCTCAATCACTGCGGCGTCAAGAAGATCGCCTGTGGCGACAATCATACCTTGGCCATGACTCTGGACGGCCGAGTCTTTACATGGGGTAGGAACAATTACATGCAGGTTGCCGATTGCTCGCAGCTCGATCAGAAAACGCCACAAATCTTCGCCTCGAACTTCGTAAACCACCTGTCGCATAACGAGCGAGCTATGGATATCGCTGCCGGAAACGATTACAGCCTCGTTATGATGGGCCAAAAAATCATTCTCATGGGAAAGCAAAGGTAGATTTCGATTTCTTCGTGCTATAAGTCACTTTTTATTGAAAAAAACTGTTTTTTTTTGTATCCACAGGTCTTCCGGTGTCATGTCAACGTTAGAGATCCCAAATATAAAGGACGATCACAAATTGGTCGGCATCTTTTGCAGTCAAGATTACAAATGCTGCACGTCAGTGCTAACATCCCCAATAAGCCGGTCGATCGTTTCCTGCCTCGATGAATCACTCATAGAGGCACAAGTTTATTTAACCGAGACACTGCTGACACAACAACACCTCGTCGCGCAGTTGCAAAAAAAAATCGCGAGCGTGCCTACGCTGCGCGAATTCGCTAGTGCCTTCGACGAGCTTTGTCGGTACCATCGCGAATTGCTTAGCTTTATCGCACTCCACGCTCAAGAGCTGACATATTTTCACGAGCAGGCGATACTTAATAGCCTCGATACCGATCACTATCCCCGGCTAGTGATTGTGGCTAACGTGGAAGAATGCGTTGCTGTTTACAAGGCCTATCTGCAAGCTCTGTGCGACCTCACAGCCATCTCCGGTTTGTCTCAAATCGCCAAGGTCATCGACGTTTTACCCACACTTTTGAAGCATTTTCAGGACAAGCTCAAGTGCGATGTGAATAGCGATATTACGAACGAGGCTCTAGTAGTTTTTGCCTTGCATCTACCTCTGCTGCAAGCTAGCAGGTTAAATTATTTGAAAGCTCTTTTAACAACATTAACTTACACATTATAATTAGTTTTTGACTCATTGTAATCTTTCCTACGCAGGTACGCTATATTCATTAAAAATCTCATAACGAACGATTTAGTATCAGAAAAGGATCAACTACAAAACGCTATGAACAAGTGGGAATCTTTGTCAAAGTTGCAGACCAAACGAATACAAGAAGCTGAAGCAACGAAATGCTTTTGGGAAGGTCCTGGAAAAATAATCGAACAATTGAGGTCATTGGACAGGAGAATGATTCGAGAATCGCGAACTCACTCTATTTCCCTATACAATGCCGGTCGTTTTTCTTCTCACCGCTTTATACTTTTGAACGATGTATTTGTACATATAACGGGTGGATCTTACGTTGCGCATCTATTATCTTTATTGTGGGTTGAACTTTTGCAGGATTCGGATCAGTATCAGGTACATAGCTTTAGATTAGAGCCTTGATATAATGAGATTTAATGAGAAGTTATAAAATACTAACGTATCAATTTGTTTTTTTACAGAATGCCATGTCCATCACAACACCTGAAGAGAATTTCGTATTGTATACCCCGACAGCTGCCGATCGAAGCGATTGGTTTCACGCTTTTCAATCTGTAATCAAAGCTAATCTTCGACGAAATCCTAGTCATAGTGCGCCACAAATTCGCAGCGGTTTTTATTCATTTAGCAAGAATTCGACGTACAAGGATGCAAGTTACACGGGTATATAATTCTTGAAAATCATTTTATCTCATTCAAAAAAAGGACCACGAAAATAATTCCCAAAAATCTTTCAGGACAATGGTTGAACGGTAAACCTCACGGAACTGGTAAACTTGAGTGGTTTGACAATAAAATGTATGTAGGACAATTTTATAAAGGTGCAATACAGGGTATTGGCCGTATGGAAATGCCCACCCAAGGAGTCTATGAAGGTCAGTGGAAAGATGGTCTGCAAAACGGATACGGCGTTATGAAGTATGAGAACACATCGATTATTTTATCACACCCATCATACACCTTCTTTTATTGTATAACTATTTTAGTTTCATAAACGGCGATGTGTATGAGGGGTATTTTAAAGACGGACTTCCTCACGGACACGGAGTTAAAAAAGAAGGTCATTTTATGGCCTCTGCAGCTTCCATTTACATTGGTGAATGGTCCTGTGGAGTTAAACAAGGATATGGAGTCATGGATGATATAAAAACTGGTAAATATTTTGAATTATTTGGAAAATGTTTAATTCATTATTCATTCATGATCTGCTGATCTTGATTTGCAGGAGAAAAATATTTAGGTTCTTGGTATAATAATACCAAACATGGTAATGGACTCATTGTTACTCTAGATGGCATTTATTATGAGGGAGCATTTGTTCAAGATGTCTTTCAGGTAATAAACAGAAGTGCAATTGAAAACTTGAATTATATTCAAAATTTATATTTTTTTAGGGACACGGTATTATGGTTTTGGAAGATGGAATGCATTACGAGGGAGAATTCAAGTCTGTCGGTATTTTTGGCGGTAAAGGCATTTTAACGTTTACAAACGAAGAGAAGTTGGAAGGAAACTTTAGTGGAGCTTGGAACGAAGGTATCAAAGTTACTGCGACTCTTCGTATTAACAATAAAACAGTGAATAAAGTTAAAAACACACCCCCGTAAGCTGTGATTTATATCGAATTTATTTCGTTCATAATTAAGCATTAAAATTGAATATTATACATTTAGCTCGTTTGGTAAATTATGCGCGCCAACTGTCCAAAAGTGGGAGCCAATATTTCGGCAATTTTATCAAGAGCTCAACATCTCAGAATTAAAAAACAATAATAGTAAGGCGCCTGCTGGCGCGCTAATGAGCGAAAGTCAAAAACTGTGGCACAACGTCGCAGCGGTTATTTGTAAATCTCAGCGCAACGGTCAAAAGCGGCAATGCTTCAACAGCAACATTTGCCTCTCGTCGTCGCTGAGCCCAAGTAAAGAAGATTCTTCCAAGGAAGATCAAGACTTACTCAATCGAATTTTGTACTTCGAGCAAGACCAATTGAGCATCGCCACTTACATGCAAATACACGCGTACTTGACGCGTGCATTCGAGAGCCAGCATCATCCACTTGGCACGCTACTGAACGAGCTCGCCTCTGTTTACACGGCCACTTACGGAGGTGTGCGAGTTCATCCGCTTCTGTTAGAACACGCAGTCGACGAGCTGAAAAAGATTACCAAACGAATTTATGAAGCTGTCACGTTATTTTTTCCAACGCTCCCGAAGGGTGACATTCAGTTGACTTTAAAACCCGCCGACGATTCGGAAGAAGAGTCAGTAAAATTAAAAAATGCCAATCGACAATTCAATTCTGTTTTTAACATTTTTTTTTAATTTTCAGAAAAATTATCAGTGCTGATTCGATACTTCATCCAATATTGCTACCACGCGTTTATTCGGCTCTATTTGTGCTTTATGCTCTTCACAATAAAAAAAATGACGACGCTTACTGGGAGCGTTTAATCAAATGGAATAAACAACCAACCAATACCCTATTAGTATTTTTGGGAGTTGATGGGTACGTTTGTACGATTGTTATTAACATTGATATCCGTATTGAATAACTTTTATGCCATAAAATGATTTCAAATTTGCAGAAAATTTTGGCAAAATTTCGATACAGAAAGTAATGATGTTTTTCTCAATGAAGCAATAGAAACATTGCAACAATTGAAAACCACTTTTTCAGCTGTTGAAAAATTAATGGTCATCAGAAATACTCATTATCAAATAGTAGAATCTGTACAGAAAAGATTGGAAAACTGCAAATTGCCAGCTGATCAATTAATTCCTATATTTTATTTCGTCGTTGTTCGAGCTGGTGTACTTCAACTAGGAAGTGAAATTCATTTCATCAAAGATTTCATGGAACCTTACTTGGAATCTGGTGAAATCGGTTACTGCTTTTCGACCATTCTGGTTAGTTCATTATAGTAAATATATATTTTTATTTGGATAACCAAAATAAAACATTTTTAATTTTTAGGGTATCTATGATCACATTTTGCATGAGAAAATATCAATGGTTGATTAAGTTTAGACTAAGTTGCCTCTGTCTGGCACAGAGAAATACAAAATAATCAGGATTTTATTAATTTATAAATATCAAACTTAAAACTGTAGGTACATTAATAGTAATAATATTAAATTTTCATTCTCTGACTTAATCCTAAATATTTGGATTTATCCGTTATTGTTGAAATAATTTTATTTTTTAAATCCAGTAACACAGCATTCCATAATTAATTTGTAGATGTACAAATAAATCAAATTTTTTAATTCAGAGTGTATATTACAAAATAACCCATGATGTTATGTCTCTCGTACACGATCTATCTAGATATATAATGTTATGTATGTGTATAGATATTCATAGAGAAATTATGTTAGAGTCGAACAGACTTTTTTTTTAATTATTGTTACTTGATAAAACCAAATGTAAATATATTTAAATAAAAACAATACAATTGTTCATAGCATCACTCATTATGTGAAATGAAGAAATAATATGTTCTCAAGATTTTTTGAATGAGTATTTTACTGGTACACCTTTACTGATCATAGGCAAGAGCTTTTCGTAGTAAATTTGTTTTTTAATGTTTTTTTTCAATTGCATCGACGAGTAAATTGAGTGTTATTTCACATCAATTTACGAAATTTTGAGTTGTATATGCTAATGTTAACGATTCTCTATCTATAACCAAATTCTACAGTAAAAAATTTAACATTTTTTCACCAAATTTGGAAACAATTACTTCCTATTCTTTTCATAAACCCATAGATGACTTCTTTCAATCATCTTTGGGACATCATAGAACTATTAAGAAATGTGTACAGAAATGTTAATTGTAATGTAGGTTTTAGCATAGAATTAGGAAAAACATTTGGTAAAATTAATAGAATAAGGTAAATAGTTGTTTGAAACTTTCACGATAATTGTTTAATTTCCAATAACAGACGATTTTCAGTAAAAAGGAAACAGAAAGGATTAGTTCACGATAGATTATTTGTAAGGTATTAAAATTATTTTGATTTATCTTTCTTCAGCTGATAAAATTATTAAATATCTCAATTCTTGTTTCTTATCAAAGTAATAGAGAGAATTCATTCCTACCTGGAATTAAAAACATAAACAGTAAGTACAGGTTGGTGGATGACGCAGGGTAAAGATTTTTTTAGGAAACAAAAAATTTTAAGAAAAAAATACGATGGAAGATTATTATTTATTAGAAACACTTTATTTCAAATCATGTTAACAGTAAATAATAAAAGGTAAATTATTGATAATTAATCATCTTACTGAATATATAATATACAAAATTTGTATAACTAGTCAAAAGATTTTTGAAAAACATTTCCTTCGCGATCGCTTGTGATTAAAATAACCATTCCAATAGCCGACCAAACCTTTGCTTAAACAAACGAGTCGCAGTCTTGGTAGTAAAAACGTCAAAAATGAGTAATTATCACTAACACCAATTTTTCGGCACTTAAATCCTAATTTCCGCAGTTCATTTCTAATTCTGCATTGTTGAATTAATTCATTAGTAAATCTAATTAAAGCTAAAGAAACAATAAACAGCAAATAATAATTCACTGTATACCAGTGTGTCCACATGAAGCTGACATCTTTAAGTCTATCAAAATTAATAAATTTAATTCTTTTGTACAGGTAAGTCTGAATCTTGTATTGTTGTGATAAATGAACAACCAGGGTTAAGAAAACCGAAGAAAATATAAATAAATATTTTACATAATCAAAAATTAATATCAACTTACAGCTGATTTTTTCAATATTCAAAAATTTTAACATTTCAGTCAGACATGCTTTTTGAAGTTCTAATGTTTTGGAAGCGAAACTCGTGTACATTTCAAATTTTCTTTTTATTCGTGCTTTTCTTTTAATATCATGTGTTTTTTCAATTTGAAACTTTTTTTTTAATAGTACTAATGAACTCATATCAATTTTTGAAAGAACCCAGGAAATAATAAAAAAATTAAAATTCACTAGACACCAAACCAAGATCTTATTCTCAGTGCTGATGAACTCGCGAATATTAAAATTCATGATTATAATTTATGTCTAACTATCGTTAATTATTTGCCTAAATTCAAGGGCAGCATACAGTTCTGCCTGGAACCTGGTTGATGGAGTTGCAAGAATAGAAAGTTTTCTTTTAGATATAATATCTGCAACCCCTTATCAACTAGGCAAGCACGCTGAAGCGTGACAACGCCTTTAATGTGCGAGTCACAAGTTACCTCTTTTACTAGTGCTTGATTTCTTATCCTAACTATGAATATATAAAAATTAAATAAGATTTTGAAAACAAAACTCACAAAATCGAATCTACTCTTACAAGAGCGAAATCGTTTTTGTTAAAGTTTTGAAAAAGTAATTATATTACAAAAATGAAAAAAATGAAAATAGTATCTGAATTTTTCTAGAATATTGAACTATGCAATATTTTGATAACCGTTGAAGATGTAGAAACAGCTAAGAATTCAACAGAGATGAGAATCAGAGTTAAAACTCAAATCGGATTATCTAAGCAGACAATGATCGATTATGATCTGTTGTAGATGTAGATTTTATATATGTATTACAAGTATAAAGAGCAGTAATTTAACTATCCCTAAATAACTTATGAGACAATATATGTTTGACAGTTGTTGTTGTCAAAGTAGAGAACCAAGTTGGTCCTATTTGTATTGGCGCGTTGAAGCAAGCTTTGAGAAGCTTGGGACGCAGAGAAAAAGCACTTTTCCAAGTAATCATAAACTGATTTCGCAGAAATGTACACTTTCGATATAATAGATTTTCAACTTTCTATCCGCACTTTAAATCATGTATTCACAAACCACGAAGATTTGCCAGGGAACTCCTTTTAACGCACTTACTTTCATATTCTTTATTATAGAGCGCAAGAGTTCAATTAAGAGAAGCCGCGAAGGACTTAAATCAGATCCGCAACGTTCATTGGCATCTCCTCGATGCGAGTATTATAGAAGTTTTCGATATCGGCCAATTGCCGTTTATCTTCTGTTGTTACAAAGTTGATCGCAACACCCTTACGACCGAAACGTCCACCACGTCCAATCCTACAAAAAAGAAGCAAATAATTTAAAGAACATTCTTCTAGATAATTATTTTTATATTATTAGGAACAGATCAAATTCAAATGCTTACCTGTGAATATAATTTTCCCGGTTTGAGGGTAAATCATAGTTGATGACAAGTGAAACTTGTTGGACATCAATACCACGAGCAAGAAGATCAGTGGTAATAAGCACACGGGAAGAACCGGTACGGAATTGACGCATGATAACATCGCGTTCACGTTGATCCATGTCTCCGTGCATAGCAGAGACGGTGAACTCCCGTGTTCCCATGGTTTCGGTGAGCCAATCTACCTTCCTGCGGGTGTTGCAGAAAATAACAGCTTGGGTGATGCTGAGTGTCTCGTAGAGATCGCAGAGAGTATCAAGTTTCCAATCTTCACGTTCAATGAAGACAAAGAATTGCTTAATACCCTCGAGGGTGAGTTCTTCATTTTTGACAAGAATGCGAATTGGGTTACGCATGAAGCACTTGGATACTTCCAATACATCAGCAGGCATGGTAGCAGAAAGCAAGATAACCTGAACTTCATGAGGTAGATGCTTGAAAACATCATAGATCTGATCCTTGAAACCACGAGACAACATCTCATCGGCTTCATCAAGAACAAAAAGCTTGATGTGGTGCGTACGGAGAGCCTTGCGGCTGATCATGTCAATGACACGACCAGGTGTACCTACAACAACATGGACTCCAGCATCCAGTTTACGCATATCCTCACGAACGTTAGTTCCTCCAATGCAGGCATGGCATTGGGCTCTCATGAAGTCACCGAGAGCAATGACTACCTTCTGGATTTGCTGGGCCAACTCACGAGTTGGGGCGAGGATTAAAGCCTGGCATTCCTGGATGCTAGTATCGATCTTCTGCAAGATCGAAATAGAGAAAGTAGCGGTTTTACCAGTACCAGACTGAGCCTGAGCAATGACATCATGTCCTTTAACACAGGGAAGAATGGCACGCTGTTGGATTGCAGATGGCTTCTCAAAACCATAAGCATAGATACCACGGAGGAGCTCCTCTTTAAGGTTCATATCATCAAAGTTGTCAACAACCTATATAAAATAATATAATTAGCTTAATGTACTCTGCTTAAAATATTGTTTATAAATTCAAAAAAAGGAACTTACTTGGTCCCAATTGGACTCGATCACGCCATCAGGCTCCATTCCAGGTGGTCCGGAATAAGCCGGAGCCTCCGACTCCCGTGGGCCATTCTTGTCAGAACCCCACTGTTCTTCATTCCTGAAAAATAATAAATAAAAATGTTAGCATGTATTGACCTGATATAATAATGAAAGAAAATTACTCTACATATAGATTTCCTGAAAAATTATTAAAAATTGTAAGCTAAATTTATTATCTAGACGAAAGTCAAAAAATATTGTAGATAGAAAAAAATTAAACAAATTAAGTACAATTCAGGGTCAAGGCGCCAAGAAAACGGCACTCTGGCGGTGATTTAAAATAAACGTGCTCCCAGAAATGTAGGTAACATACGCGTGCGCGCGTAAATGAGTGAGCGTAGAGAGAGAGAGAAAGAAGTGAAAAAGAGGGGAGGGGACACTAGCCGGAGATCTCTTGGCTAAGAGCTAAACTTCGCTCTCTCTCTCTTTTTAACTCTCTGTAATTTAACTATTTCGTTGCTAGCCCCTCTTTTTTGGCGTATTTTTGAGCTTCTACATAGCTTGAGAATGAGATTCAGCTATCGGAACGTAACTCTCTCGACGCTCACAAAAATTACTTAAAAATAAAAAGCGCGCTATCTCGCGGAAAGAAAGATAAAATAAAAGAAATACTTCGCGCACGAAAAGATGAGATTCTCTCGCTCTCTCTCATTTTGTCTCGCTGCGAACGAAATCCACGCGTGTGCACGAGGCAGCGCTATAAAATATGCTGTGTCAGCGCGTATGAGAGTTCCGATAATAGATTCTCGTCGTGTCGCCACGTCACTTTTTTAAACTTTAAAACGTTCACAAGCTACGCTCGAAACACATCGGAAAAGTTATAATGCACTTAGACTTTACGGTTAAAAAAAGAATTGCACTAATTGAAGGAGAACCACGTTGGTTTTTTTTTACCCTATTACACTTAGGGTGCTGTAAATAGAAGATACGCAAACGCCACGTGCACAGAACTAATTTCACTATTAAAAACGATTAAATTGGCTCACGTTCACTATGCTTCACAATAAATAGTGCACAATAAATAGTGCATAATAAATAATGCACCATAAATAATGTATCATAAATAATGCAAGATTATTAAATGATTTCGAGGTTAGAAAGATTACACGAGGCAAAAGAGATGAAATGCATTAATTCTTACGTGATATCAGCAGTAGACGAAGCCATGATTGTAAGATTGGATAGAAGTTGCTTTTTCGAAGTCTCTAAAAGAACTGAAGAAATATGTGCTACTGCTCAGGCAACTAGCCGCGCCGCTTAGCCACGTGATAGAATAGAGGGCGCTTCACGCGATGCGTGGGAGAGAGATGCGCGATGGCACTTTTTACATTCAAAACCATAGTAATATGAAATGCATTAAAAGGAGTAGTACATATGACCACCCCCCTCTACCGCTAATACCAGCTCGTTGCACCGCTGATGGAAAACTTGTGTAGAGTAAAAGTCGAAAATTTGAAAAAGGCTGGCTACGACACCATTTAATTCTATTAAATGTGAAAGTCTTTTTCATTTTCAGTTTTTTCTAGAGAGATCTTTTGAAATAGTAACAGCAGCATGCATGACGTGGCCCATTATAATGAGGAGTAACGATTCAAGCCAGGTTTACCGGCTAAATTTACTATGTATTATAACCCTCAAACACGTGGAGCGGATGTTATACATATAGGAAAAAGAGCCGGCAGCTGACTTTGTACAGCGGTTGTAATATCCTAGCTACGGCGTGTACGGCAAAATATCGATCGATACACATTATACGGCCGAGGCGGCGACTGCTCGGGTGTCGTATGTTGTATACGAGCGTCGCAAAGGGTGCGTGCGTAATACCGTTGCCGCTGCTGCCCTGCGTCGTGACGCAAACTTTTACGCACATATATCTCTTACTCATGCCCTTCGAACGATAAGCGAAGCGCAGCAAAAGCAGAGCAAAGCTTCCCTTTAATACAAAAGCACGTACACATGATATCGATACACACACGGCTAATACACATAAACATGCGCCGAGTGTTAAGTTCATTGCCATCTGTAAAAACTCACGTTTATTTACTGTAAACGAGAAATGGTCATTTTGGGTGATTTTGAGTAAGTATTCGGTTTCAAAAAAGATCGAAATTCCCATCTGTACAAGACCCATCTACTTGAACACGCCATCGGTTTTCTAATTTTTTTTTCCTTTACTTTATGACGATAATGACATTTAAACGGCTAATAAGAACGTGTAATGTTCAAAAAAGCAGAATTTCTTAATTAAAGCACGTTTAGCATAAATGTTTATTAATTTCTTCAAAAAGCACGAAGTTCGTTGTTTTATAGGTTTCTTGCATAACGTTTTCGCTTGTATATAAAAATGAAGTTGATCTGGGACTTAGTCAATGAATTAAAAATATTTCGAGAAATTTCCCCCTTCGAGAAAATTTCCTCATATTGAATTTTCGTTGTGACAAGCTTTCGTTTCAGAGTGGAAAAAACCGAACGAAAAGTGTAACGATTTTTCGAAATCCCACTCATCGATGATTCTCTCAACCGAGCGTCTATATCATATTCGTATCATAACAAAAAATCGGAATTAAAAAATTTTTAAAGAGCCCACGCTTACGCTGTCGCTCTGAGACACAAGCGTCCGTACACGATGACATCATAGCAGTAAAATCCAACGTGTTGCAAAATACCGCGCGACCGAGAATGAAAGAGAAAGAGAGTGTCCCATATAATTGTCAATCGAGTCGATCCAAGTGAGAGGACTGATTTTAAAATGATATTCGCCACCGAATTAATACATACACAGTTATCAGATAAATGCATGTTTAATCACGGCGTTCAGCTTATCATTGTCGCGTGATAACTACACGCGCAATGATTGTCATAATGATCGTTTCCTAATCGCTCGAGAGCCATAACTCTCGCATGAAAAGTACATAGAGAGTATCTCGTACACGTTACGTCGTGTCATCTATGTACTCGCACATAACTGTAGGAAAAGTATTTCTCGCAAGTCTAATTATGAGAAGAAAAAGTGGAGAAACATGTGTACGAAGGCCATTGCTTCGTCCTCGGGGCTAGGCTACGAGCGAGAGAAAAACGTGGAACATATGTACGTATCAAACGTCGTAAGAGGAAAAACGCCTCGGTATACCGTATGTGTAACGTGAGTACGGCACACAGCACAGATCGCAGCTACAGTTGTATAAAAGAGAGAGCACGAAGCAAGCGTATGGGCGATACGAACTGTATAGTTACAGAAGTCAGCCACTGAATAAAATGAGTCACACGCGATGCCTTGGGATTCGAAGCTACGCGAAGCACACCTTGGCCTCATGGTCGGAAATCGCGTGTGTCTATATAAAGGGGGAATCAGAAGTCCGGATATGTCGCGTAAGTGTGTGCGTATGCTTGTATCGCACGAGCATTACGCATCTTATCCGCATTGGTCGCACACACATGCAAGCGCGTATCAATAGATTTTCCACTCGCTCATTGACGTTTTATGTTTGCTCATTAACGTTCGATCGCTGCATATCATGAAAATATTTTCCAATCGTAAACGTATACTCGGCGAGAGTCGTGTATCGAATCGAGATAAAAGTGTAATTCTTCGGGAAAGGGAAAAATGGTTAAAAAATGAGAGAATGCAAGGTAATTTCCCAGCAGACGGACATCCGGTTGGGCGACGAAGGAGAGAGAAAGGTTGCAATATCGCAAAGGCGTGTGCAAGTAGAAGCCTATGCATGTACAAGATATCGAGGTGTATTATATGCTAAAAACGAGCGGTGATCTTTCTCCTCTCTCTCTCTCTCTCTCTGTCTTTTCGTCATCGTCGTCGGTCGGCATTCCGCGCGAGTCTCGAAAGCGCGTGCGCTGCTTGCCTCTCCTCTTCCCACGTAAAATTCTCTCCTCGCGATATATACCGTAATGCGTGCGTAAAACGAAAGTGAGGTTAACTTGGCTTCAGGCCCGGCAGAAGGTAAAGAGAAATTAAACCTAGCTCGGACGTGGCGATGATCGTGATCTGAACGAGGTGCAGCCAAAACTTGCACATGTCACACGGCTCAACGAGCAAAGATGTAATTATGCATGCGGGAGCAGCCCCTTGCAGCCACACGCGGTGGCGTTAGTCGCGGTAGCCGGCCAACACCCTCTTTTCTAGCTCATTTTTTCGCTTTATCCCAGCGAACCTGTGCACAAAACTACACGTGGTCCGTGGCTAACCGTTATAGCGGCAAAATCTCGCGGAAGTGACGACACATCCTCGCTCGCGTTACCGCTCGCGGGTGTATATGGAAAGCCAGCACACACGTACACATGCACACACACTCTGGGCATGCCATACCGTTCGCCTAACGCGTGTACGGAGAAGACTCGGATGGTCTCGTGCATCAGGAGGGAAAAATAACGTCGATCATATCTCAAGAATTCGGGGAATCGTACGAGTCGTGTCGGTCACTTTCATCAAATTTCTCATTCAAGCAAGTGTTCGAGTGAAACGGGAAGTCTCGCGTAGCTCCGAAACTTGGCTCATCGAAAGCGCGCCATGTTGCCGCAGCTCATGGGTGCGCGTTCGTAGCGTACGAAGCCAGTAGCACCGCGCAAGCACTATACCTATATATATACATGACTGCCTCTCGCACTCGGCACACGGCACACGTTTCTCGACGAAAAGTTGATTTTCCGCCTGGATCGCGAGTCGTGCGAGCGTGGCACGGCACCCACGACTCGCGCACGACGCTTTCGCGCCTCAACACCCGATCCTTACGTTAATTCACCCACATTTATCCTTAAAATAAGGTAAAAACTCACCTCGGTTCACTTGTAAACGACATGTTCCACTCACTGTCTTGCGACGAAAAGGACGATATTACGATTGCGTCACTCAGTCTAAGCCTTCTCGCCAGGCGGCGCTACTTCTGGGCACGCTGAACGATCCGCAGTCTAATAATGAGCGCCAAAAAGAGCGCCACAAAACGAAAACAAATTCTGCTTGGTATTTTATGCCCTTTCGGCCCTGTGATGTTCCAGTCGTCTAAGATGAATTTATTTTATTTAATTAGCCTCAGCTGATACTGCTTTTCCGTCTTTTTCTCTTCTTCACTAGTTCTTTTTTCCCAAGATGAAACAACGAACAACTCTGTACTACACTTTGTAGGGACCGTGCTTTTTTTGCTATAATATTATAATTCAGGATGAATATGTAAATCCGTTATTTACTTCCGCCTCGGCTAACTACTGTTGACGATCGTACAAATTGAAAATTTCAACGCCAAAACGACAAATGTTTGAGCATATATTACGTGGAAATTTCTTTTTATCTAAGGCAGCACTAAATTTATGTTGTCGTCCAAAGTTAATATTTCATACAATCTTGTTTTTTCTTTCAATGTTGGGTATCTGAAAAATTTACGAATATGTTATTGGTTTCTCTTGGCTCGTCTATTAGTCTCGGCGATCGCAAGTAACGCATCATAAAATGCGTGCATAAGATGCCAACGGTAAATTGATGTTATGTAAATCGTCCTTCCAAGCTTGTATTATGATATAAAAGCTCGAACTATGCTTTGATAAAAATAATACGACATCTCTCGAGTATCATAATATCATGACAATTCAATGGGATTTAAATACCGATCGTTGAAACAATCACAAAGCTTCTATTGCCCGTGACGCCTCGAACCACGTGCGACCCTCGATTCTCATGGGAAATAAAATTTAAAATTTTTTCTTATTTACTTATGAATTCCAAGGTATTATACGAGACGATTGTATTTACTTTTTATTTTTAGATGAATCCGTCGTAGCAAACTCGTGACCGATGACTTTCCTTTAGCGACGTGTTAATTAATTTTATTTATGTGAACGATTTTCGAAAAATTATGGGTCATGACCCATATAAACAGCTTCTTTTTCTAAAGCCGCTCAAATTCTTCGAAGATTTACGTGGACGATGAGTTTGAGTATAGACAATTCTAAAGGCCCAATTTTCGGGTGTAAATTTAACAGCAACGTTTTTCCACGCATGGCAAAAGCTCCTAGCAAGGCCTCGCAATAATCGCTCGAGTGAAATATGATGTTTTTAATTTGATGCTCTATTCCTAATTATTGTTTGGTCTTGAATTTTTATCTCAAGAAAATGATTAGGTCAGTGTACGTGAAACTATTGATCAAGATAAAAAAATGTTTTATTTACTTATATTTGCTTGTACGCTTTTAAGGCTATATGGAACTGGATTTTGTTGTGATTGATTGTTTACTAACAATTGAGGATCTATAATCGGGATGAACCGATTTTAAATTCCAATTTTAAGGCCACATATGAAAATAATGTTACGACCTACATTAATTTTTTCATATTTATTTTATAATTCAAAATAAAATATGTAGAGGTACATATTGATATATTATAAAGTATCAGAAAAAACTACAACACTAATAAACTTACAATTACATAAATATATCTGTTTTTTGTACAAGTGATATAAAATATATTCTATACTTATTTTTAATTTTATTCAAAAAATTGGATCGAAATTGAACCAATCTTATTGCAACGTTCAACAACAAGAATTGAACACGTGCTGCACCAAGTATAAAAAGTTTTTCAAGTCTTTGCTCAACAAACTGACTATTTATACGTTTTGTACGTGAATAACCAGTATTCACATGAAAGCACATCCGAGGATGAGAAATAAAATAGCGATAGGGAAAATTGCGTAAACAGCCATTCTAGGCACACAAGTTGAAACAAGCTTTGAAACGTCATCGAGCTCTTGTTCAATTCCATCTTTGATAGGCACTTCAACGACGACCATATCGCTAGAAGTCATAGTTAACTGGAAAGTACATTCAGTCTGATTGATGCAGCTTCGAGTCACATTTTCATGAAGCAATGACGGCTTGTAAATTTCAAAAATAGCATGAATATCATTGGAGACGATATCATTATTGTTATAAAATATAAAATAATAATAGCCATCTTCTGGTATATCATAAGACAACTGAGCACGTTTTTTTCCTTTTGATAAGAGATGATTCACATCCAAGCACTGATCAACATCATCAAATTTATATTTACTTAAAGTTCTACCCTCGAAACATTCATCTAAGCCATTTTCAAAACTTGAATAGGATTCATCACTGGTGTCATGCTTTGGAACATTTCCTCCATGAACGATACCTTGCCTTTTAAATCTGTTATTAACATTATCAGATTCTTCCATAGCATGGTTATTTTCTTCTTTTTCACCTCCTTCACTATCAAGCATTAATTGTTTTTTTAACATGTTTAAGCGGATTTTGTATTTTAAAGAATCATCTGTTTGATTCATTAAATTTCCTTCATCATTTGATTCTTTTAATTTTTCATTTTCTTCATCAAGCATTTCGAGCCTCAACATTCTCTTTTTTAAATGTCTTTGTTTCAAACTTATTTCATTGAGTGTTTTATTCAAATATTCACCAAAGGTATTGACTAAAACTTTAGTAGCATTGTCATTGTGCAACAGTTCTTTTACTGCAGCCTTACTTGTATTTTGACTTAATATATTTCCAGGATTCAGTACATGAGATTCATTGTTTAATTGCATATCATTGTTGAATTTTTCTCCTGAACTAACAACCACACTTTCTTGGAAAGTTATTTTCACCTAAAAAAATTCATTGTATAAAATTCTTATAGATTTTTAATAAATTTTTTAAATCAAAAATATATACCTGCGGTGATAAAATTCCTACAGTACCAGCCTTTTTCCTATTGTGATCTAACATACCACATGTTGATAGATTCTTTTCTCCTTTTACAAACAGAATAGTAGCCCCTTTGAATCTAAGAAATTATTTAAAAATTAAGAAATAATGAAGCAAGTTTAAGTACTTAAAATAACAACAAACCTTGAACAAAATGATAAGATAACAGTAGCTTCTTTTTTAAGATAAAATCCCCAATACTCAAATGTATCATCTGGTAATGTCATACTTTTTTTCAGTCTTATATGTTTACGAAAAGAAGGTTTTTCAGGACGTTCTGAAATTTGAAAGGCATCAAAAGTGCCATTCATTTTAAGGCTATGTTCCTGGAATAACATGAAAAATTATGGTGTTTCTGATTAAAAGATATTGTTTCTCAAAATAGTTGCATATAAACTCACTGAACAAAATATTGGTGAAATGCCTGAAGTGATATCCAAAATATCAGATTCTATCACAGTGAACTCTCTATCCTTGAATACATGCTTCCTTAAGTAGATTGGTAAAATCACAAGAAACGCTGGAAGTACTGTCATCAGAGTACAAAATATTGCAACTCTCTTAATACCTTTCATTTTGTCAATACCTGCAAGTCCAAATAATAAAATCATTCATTATAATTATACATAAATCAAATTATCATGTTCATCATTTTGAAAAGAATGGAAATTACGAAAAATGACAAATACTTTATCAGAATGATGCATTGCAAAAAAGAAGTATGATTTACCAAAATTAACTTTCTGAAGAAGAAGAATGTCAAATATTTTCCATAAGGTTTATTGCATAAATAAACTATTTCTTTTAAATATTTTCCAAATATTTGTTTTTAAAACTAGAGTTTTAATTTTCCCTAGCGATTATTGCTTGTGAGACTTGACCATAGGAGATTATTACTGACCCTTATTTGCTTTAAATCATAATATTTGCACTACAATAATTTTCAAAATGCAACTTTTATTATAGCTTCAATTGAGCTGAATTAGTAAGGCTTCTCGAAGTTCACTAGATACTTGAAATAATTTTACAGCAAACCGAGTGAGTACAGTCGAAATTGCAGAAGTAAAACCCAGCCATAGTTATTGCCGCACGAGGTGTTTATTGCTTTTATAGACACTGAAAACTATCGTTTGGAAACTAAAATTTCCAAACTAAACTGCTTTAACAAGGCAACGGCCGCCTGAATTTTTTCTTCGACGTCCTGAGCTCGGCATATCATATGCGTTGTTATTCACGCGTGTGTAAACTCTCACCAGTCGGCATTTGGTTATACATGTATACACACATGGAATTGTATATATGCTATCGATTTTTTGCACTCGTAGCTGCCGTGCAATATTTTGCTAATGAGAAATGTATATATTATGCGTCGCGAGGACTCGGGCGTTTGCTCGCATCGTTCGTTGGACTGTCACTTTGCACCGAGTGTTGCCTATTCGGCAAGAACAATTCACGGTGGTATACAGGCCACTATATATATATTGCCATTAAGTATATAGGAGATTGCGTGCGTGCAAAACTGCTCTGTGCTCAAACATCGAACCTAGCAGCTGCCTGAGCCTCTCTCACGCAGCAGCCGAGAGATGTTATTTTTTCGCGTGCATGTGTCATCTTCTTGAATTCCGATTCGCGCGTTCTGGCGCGGGCGGTAGTTCTATACATTGCCATTTGCCGCAAACAGTCATGCGCGTATACAATGAGCGTAGAGATGATAGTTTTTTCATACTCAAACCTTTTGTTTTTATTTACAATCGAAATTTTTTTCTGAATGTTTATCGTCTGCTAAAAATTCATTAACGAGTTTTAAAGTAGATATAAATTGATCATTTTTCGATTGATGCACGCGCGCAAACGGCGATGTAATCACAAAAATCAATAAGTCGATAATTGTAATTTATTGAATTTATCTCACACGGAAGTATTTTTTTTTGAAAGAGACGATCAGGTGTACGCGTGCAATTTTGGATGTACAAAACGACTTCGAGGTTTATCTTTAGCTAACGCACATACACGATATCACATTTTAGCACATCTTAGCATTAGAAATCGAAAAAATTATTTCAAAGTATATAATGCATGTGTTTACACTGTGCAGGTGACATTTTAACAATCTCCAATTGGCCTTTGTAAAATATACGACGCATCTGGCGTCGCACAGTGGGATAGCCGGTATCTATCAGATATAGGTGTAATAATAATTTGTGAGTTTCAATTCAATGACAGCTGCACTATATACCACAAACATTTGCACCTTAATTGTTAATTTATTTACAACTGACACTGAGTGTGGTACAACACATTTTCAAAATGTTAAATTTCAGTCTGTAAGTACGATAAGTCTAGTTCGAATGACAATTCAGAACTATTTGAAAACTTATTCAAAATTACATTTTTCGAATTTCGATTAACGCATAGAAGCGGGTTATCAACACATTTTTACCTTCTGTTTCTAATTAACATAGCGAATCAATTGATTAATTTATGCGTTCATTGATCTTTATTTATCGTTTTTTAGCATGAAAAGATACAATTACAGTTCAACGGTTTATCGAAACGTATTATTAACACTTGAATTGAACTCATAATGTTTTATACAAAAGACGTTTATTCTCAATCGTAACTAAATTGCGGTCTTATTATTGCTGTTTTTTCAAATAAAAATTCGTCTCAATCGTTCGTACATTGATTAAAAAAATTCCATTCATCACAAGAACATAATATCGTGTGCACTCGACGATGATTAAAAAGCTAGAGAAAATGTATGCTTTAAAGCTAATTAACTACTGCAAATGGGGGACCTAAAAATAAAAATGTAAAGGTATCTAGATTATAATGTGTCTCGCATTGAAACAGCTATAAATCAAAAAAACAATACGCATGAATGGATTCGAATGAAATGACGTGTACGGTGCAGCTTTTGATAAATTCGTTTGGGTGAAAGTATTAGACAAATGCACCATCCGAATCTTCGAAATACTTACGATTCAAAAGGTCAAGTGATTGATACTTGTAGGAGCGGTAATAGCCCACTTGACGATTAGACATGTGCATACCAGCGTCCGTCGCCATCGTGTATGTTTCAACTTTTCTCACTCTTTCTTTTTTATCATTCAATGAAAATCTAAAATATCCTCAAACTGCGTCTCAGATGTACCGTGTCCTTAGTCGAGTGAAAATTGTTATGAATTAATTTCTAATTCGATGGACAAACTGTGTTGAAAAACCAGTCTTCCTCCTGCGGACGGCTGGCACTGGTGCACGTTTTCACGTTGAAATTTTTTCACAACGCTCACACATCAATAATGTCGACAAGAAAATAAAAATTACTCGCCTTATTGTCATGAAAAAAAAAAACAAATTATCTGGTTTTGATTCACACATTCGCGATTCAAAGGTGCACCGAACTTAATCAGCATCAAAGGTGATATTAAGTGTAGATCGACAACTCGCGTACAACACTGATTAAAAAATAAAAAAAAAAGGTAAAAAAAATAAAAATAATTACAGATTTATATTTTGGAGCGTATGACGCTCGCGCGGGATACATAAGATCGTTTGACTTGAGACGTTTATAATATGATATATTTGCACCACCACTTAATCGACAAAGTCGCACATACTACATGTATATTAAAAGTTATTTACTTATTCATTTCGTGTGTGTATACATGTGTGTAGGCACACATGCATCCTTGTATAAGCACGACACGCGAGATGATGCGTAAGAACTGATAATCGCTTTTTGCCCACGAGGTGCCTCGCTCGCGATCGATGATGATGATGATGATGACGACGATGATGATCGCCTAAATTTTTTTTTCTGCCCGTTACAAACGAAACCGCGCACGACCCAAACCAATTCGAGTGAACTTGTTTTTTAATGTACATTGTTTGTTGATAATACACCGACACACCGCGCGCGTGGGGCGCAATATCTGAAGCTCCGAAAGTGTGTGGCTCAGCCTTTCAACGACTGCGCTAATTTACGATTCTGATTTCTGTTTCTTTCCGTCTCGTTTGAGATACATTTGTGTCTTTTTTATCGCGTTATCGCACCCACACTATTGGGTGAGAATTCAATATTAAAATCTAATCTCAATCTTAAGCAACTTGCGCTTCTGTCTTTTTTGAAAATTGATGAAAAAGCAAGGTAATACTCATTTCTCAAAGTGATATTGTTGATATTACTTTAAAATTGTATACTTAATTAGCTAAATATTTTTTGAATAAAAACGATTTTTTTCTGTTTTATAAAAATATTTTCATTAACTTATCAGTAATAATGTAATCAGTATTTATAATTCTAGTACCATAGTAGCCTTATAGTATCCATCCTCTGATGTTGTATGTCTTTGAGAAAGATGAAGAGTAGATACTGTAATAGTTCCAAAATATGTGTCTTTATGTTCCTGTGCAAAAAAATTTAAATGACATTTTAGATATATTAAAAAAACTTTTTTTATAACCAGCATAGGTATATGATAATATTACTATTAAAATATTTGTAGCATCAAATGTTTCTTTCTTTCTCCAACTATTGAATTCTGCTTCTCTTGAAAGATTAGCAGTTTTCATAACTGTCAAGTGAAGCTTTACGTGATCACGTTCTCTCCTACTCAGACCTATTCATTTTAAAATACGTGTAAAATTAAATATTCTGAAAAATTGTAAAAAATATAATAGATTTAATACCTTGATCTATCAAGAAATCTGTAATACCATCTGCCAGTTTTTGAAGGCAGCCGCTTTCATCATGAACCTTTATAAATAAAACATTTACTTCACTAGGATCATCGTTCATGCACTCTACTCCTTTACATTCAATTGTAATTGGACCATTTTCTTCTAATAAGGGTCTAAAATAAAAGTTCAATTCAGATAGTTTTTGAAACAATAAATGCTTGTAGAAACACTTACTCTAAGACATTTTTTTTACACATTTGTAAAGCTTCAATAGCATGCGTACGTTCATCTTCATCTAATAGTACCATAAGACCTAGAGTAAGATGTAATTTGTGAGGTTCATTAAACAATTCAGGACGAATCCCCCTCACACCATGGCCATACTTCTTCAAAATATTTTCTTGAAACCTTTTGAAGTTTTCTATTATTTCTGGGGTATTGCATGGCAAAGAGACAAAATGAGTAAATGGAAGTTTTTTCCTAGAAGTCTCAACTAATATATTTATACGATTTCTTGCTCGTGTAATATCTCTTTTACTTCTTCCGATTATTACTGAAAAGTAATCAAGTGTTATTAAAAGTGTTGGATAAGAATTAGTTTTTGGAACCAAATTTTTATCATGTATATAATGGATGTATACCAATTTCTCCCGCTTCACCCATTCTTGGTACTGTTATAGTTGTTCTTGTTTCATTATTGAGTCGTTTCAAAGTGCTTCCTTTTGGTCCAATAATGAAACGATAGAAATGACTGCAAAAATTATACGATAAGAATTTCTCTATATTGTCTTTTTTTAAATTAAATTATAATATTTGCAATACCTATTGAGGTGGAAACTATGTTTAAATCGATTTTCTTTGTAAATTTCAATTTCAATTGGTTCTTCACAACTTTCTTCATTACATACATCATAATCAGGTTCAAAACAAGCTTCTTCTTCGTAAGGTTTAAGATTTTTTCCACGAGACCATGCAGAATTATCGCAAAACCTGTAGCATCGATTCTCTACCCATACCAACTCTGGTTTTAATATATCCATAACAACGATATTTCAGTAAAATTAAAGAGAACAATTTAAACTTTTAAAATGCACAGAATAATTCTTGACGTTTTTAACATGCGTTTATTCAATGCATTATCAACTGATAAGATATGAGTAAAGCCAGGTTTTCCTGATGATTGCATATAAGCAGAATACGGGTGTAAACAATAAAAAGTGCCATCTCGAGGAAAAAGTTTACAACACAATCCGATTGATCTGTAATCGACTGTCAAGTGTCAATCCAACGATTTTATAATGTAATATTTATGTAAATTTGAGCAAGATTGACTATTTTACAGTAAAAACGTTGAATGTCTAGCTAAATTGGTCCACTTACTTTTTTTTAATCAAAGTAAGATCAAGTTTTGAAAAAATATTTAAGAAAAAAATTTTTTTAGTTTTGAAACAAATTTAGAGTTCCTGACATTTTGCAATCCACAATCCTTCATTTTAAAAAATTACCAAGTTTAAACATTTTAATAAAAATTTGCATATTCTATGATTTTTTAGTATTTTCAAGAATCATTATACATTTTTTTTATGTTTTTTTTCTTTTACATTTATTTTTATTATCACAGTTACAAAAAATAATAAATTTGACATTTCTGTACAAAAAAGTAGTATCAGCTGCATATCTCATAAAATCATGTATCAAATATATTTACAAAATAGAAATAGTACAAATAATTTCAAGTCATTCCATTGAGACAAATGCTATGTGAACAAAACTGAAAATATAAAAATAATTAATTATTTTCTTAAAGTAATTTATTATTATATACTAGATTTAAAAAAGGATTATTACCTGTACAACATATAACATTAATGACTAAATCATTGCTTCAAACAATATAAAAATATTTAATTCTCATATGACTAGGTAAATATAAACAATTGATATTATATAATTTTTTAACTTATGAATCATTAAAAAATGGATTATTGGGATCATCATCTTCAAATTCATCAGCGAAAGGATTTTTTGATTCATCATAATCTTCTTTAAAAGGATTTGATGGCTCCATTGGTGCAGTTGGTGAAACAAATTTCTTTTCAGCAGATGATGTACTTAAAGTTGAATTGTCAACTTTTAATTTTGATGATCCTGGAGAGTTAGATAGAAGTTGCTCTAAGTTTGAATGTTGACTTCTCGGAGTTGTTGATAATTTCAAAGGGTTTCCAGGAGGCTCTAGTGTAGATTGATAAGTTTTTATATTGTCAACTTCAATTGGTCTACTTGTACTTTTGTTCTCCTTCAGAGTGTATTGTGAATCTACTTCTGACTTATGAAAATCATACATTTGCATATCACATTGATCATTCACCATTTTTGCAATAGTTTGTGATTTCTGCCACTCTGCTATTACCATTATCTGTTTAAAGACATTATGACCAAAATAGTCTGCAATCAACGAGAATGGTTCTTCTGTTCTGTCGATCAAACAATGAAAAGTTTCATGGAAATCCTTAGACTGTTCTTGTGCTTTAATTATATCTAACCATTTTTTATTTGTAGGCATACATGCAGGACACTCATTTTCATTTTCTGAAAAACTTTGAAAGCAGTGCTGATGATATGAATGATTACATAGGAAATGCACTGAAGGTAATTCTAATTGATGATGACAAGCACTACACCTTGATCCTTGAAAAATAATTGTATCATTTTCTATTTCATGCATTTTCTGTCTTAGATTTTTACTATCCCTTCTATACTTTTCAATTAATTCTGTATCTGCTTGAACTTGCTCTTGTTCTTGACTTAAAACATTATTTAAATAGTGGCGAATGTCTTTCAAGTTACTAGTTAAAGAAGTTGACAAAGCATCAAGCACAGTCAATGGAGCTAATAACTTTTCTTTGGCAATATGATCCAAAACATCCAATAATAGTTTAGAAGAAGTCATATTTTTTGACGCTATAGTCCATAAAGTTTGAACCCACAAATGAGGATCTTGATTTCCAAAATTATTACACGTTGCTAAAACTTTTTCAGGATCTCCTTTTTGCAAATGATACCGTAGGATTTCTTGATACAATTTTTTTTCTTCATAAAGCAATAAAACTCCTTTTCTAAAATCATGTTGATGGCATAGTATTAATATTTGATCTCTGTCAAAGCTGGCATGAGAAGTTTGTAAAAGACGAATAATTTTTTGTTCGTGTTGAGATTTTAATAGCTCATCATTTGAGTTGGACCAGCCATGAAGATAATGTTCTATCAATGTATTATATACTAATGTACTCCATCTTACACCATTGTCATTTTTTATCAAATACTCTAAAAATTCAATAAGATGTTCAGAATTATTTAAAAATAAATGAATGTAATCTTCTGGGTCAGCCTTTTCAACATTATGTTCCATTACTTGTTCATTAGAATTATTTGGAATATATTTAGTGCAAAGAACTTTCAAAAATTGTGTCGCATCATGAGGAATGTTTTCAATTAGAATTTTGCCATACTTCTTCATATTTAAATCTGCTTCCTCAAATTTCAAAGTTCCTATATAGTCTAAAGCTTTTTTGTATTCAGCCTTATCTTCAATTTGTATGCGAAGGTACCATTCATGTTTTTCATGCTTCTGGGCTAACATCAGTGCATCTTCTGGAGAACAATGACGACATACTTTAATGGCTATTTCAACATCAAAATCAACTTTTCGATCTTTTGTCATAATGAAATTTCTTAATTCTTCAGAGTGATTTAATTTTGTATAACAATTTAATAATAATGTTGTATGATTTCCAGTAGCTTGCCCTTGTTTGTGTAAGGCTTGTAGATAAATAATTAAATAATCTATATGCTGAGAATTTAAATACTTTTTTATTACATAACTTGGTTCCAATATTCCAATAGTTTTAACATACTGCTCAATAGCACCATTATAATCTCCTTTGGAGTGCAAATGATCACCGTATAGGCGGAAAATATCTGCTAATCCTTCAACATCATAATGATGATTTTTGGCTATTCTAATTGAAATGTCGTATAAATTTTTCTTAAAAAGCAGATTCAATTTTGACTGCAAGTCTTTTTCTTCTAAGCGATATAATTTACAATCTCCACTCAACACAAATAGACCACCCCATTCTGATAAAACTGCTTCAATAGACGGCAGAGATGCAGCAAACACAATAAATTTATTTTGAATATCAAGAATAGTAATTGTATTGTTAACAATTCCTGGCTGAGCATCTAATTTAGGTGTAATAACTGTCCCACTAGCAGCTTCTACTCCTTCTGTTATTATAACTAAATAGTTTCTAAACCATTTGAGTAGTGTTTTTTTTCCATCTATTGCATAGCAAGGACCTCTGCCATCAGGTGTGTAGCAATAAATAGCATCAGATCGTCCAACCATAAATTGACCATCTTGCTTTGATTCAGCAAATATACTACATTTTAGAGCACACCCAAAATCATCCAATAATGACTTTGTTTCTTTGTCTCTGACTGTAATATTGTACAAATATGCATTATTTGTTGTTGTCACATACAAATAAGATTGCTTAGCTGCTACATGAATGGCTAATCCTGTTATCTTCATATTGGAATCTTTCAAAACTTTTATTTTGTTTTTTCTCTCTCTTGTAAGATCTCCTCTATATAACATAATTGATCCATCCTCAAAACCGACAGCCATCAATGTTAAACTTGAATGAACGCACAATGTTGTAGCTGCAATAGCTTTATAACTAGGTATTGCTCTACTTATGCGTATACATAAGGGATTTCCTTGCTTGTCTTTTTTATCTAAACTCCAGACCTTAATCGTCGGATTGCATCCAGGCTCATCTTCACCTATTGTGAAGAGATATGGGCAATTTGAAATTTGATGCACAAGGGTCAATGTGTTTTCGTAAGCTTTAAAGGATGTTATTTCATAAAATCTGTCAACCATGTGTATAAACCCAATGACATCACCTATGATCAGCAAGCCATTTCCACTGGTTGCTCCTACTATTTGAATGTCGCCAAAGGGTTCTGGAACATTTTTTCCAAAAACACTGTCTTCTTGTATGCTAAAAAAGTTAAATCTACGCCACTCCAAAAACGTCATCTTGAAATTTATTTAGTCAACACTTTGATTCTTTCAATTTTTTGCACAGCAGTTGAACGGTTTTTCGAAACTTTTTACTTTGAAACTTGAAAAAATCAGGATGATTGAATCATTTGGGCGTGTACCAATGAGCTGACCGAAGCGAAAAAAATTATTTGCACTTGTGTTGCGTCCACTGTGCAGTTTCGCGATACATCGTTAACCTCACTTATCGCGATTATGTTCTGCTTGCGAATGCTTGGCTGTTGGCTGTTGCTGAGCAATTGGCAGTCGGCAGCTCGCGAAGCTGCAGTGAGTATCATCATGAATGAGCTGCTTGTTGTCATTGTCGCGGCGGAAAGAGTCTGCACTCAGCTAAACGCAATAAGTAAAAAGAAAAGTTGATTGTTAAATTGTTTGTGTGTACTTTTGATTTTTAAAACTCTTTGTGAAATTGTTCATGCAAAATAATGGCGAGAGCTACATTTTTTACTTATACATACTTTACAAAGGTGATACAAAGGTGAGTTATAGTACCTACGTTAAATTTCTTTTCTCGCTCTCTTATATTTTGGCATTTATCAGTTGGTCAAAAAACATACACTAACCATCATGGACATGTATTTTAATCTTTTTATTGTAAAAAATATTATAAAATCATAAACCATCAAAGGTATGCATATAAAAACATTTGACTTATTAAAATAAACTAAAATTTGTCGTTATCCATTTGAGAAAAATCCATGCGTATTGACAAATGTCAATGTAAATGATGCAAATATCTTAAAAAAATCATAGGATATTTTCATCATTTTATTAGATATTCATCGAAAATTATAGATATTTTTTCAATCTGGCGATAACGTTAATAATCCTCTTGAATTTATACATCGATTTGCAAAAAAAGTATTTTTTACAATTCAGTAAAATAAATATTATGGTTAAATGTTCATATGCGCAAGGGCATGGAAATATCCATCGGGGCCCTTCTCCTTCAGCGATGAGAAGTGCAGCATCGAAATATGGACGGAGCCCCAGTTTATGTCTTTGTAACGCTGTGTGGTATGAGAAGGTGAATTTAGCGTAGTTTTTCATTGCAAAAGTTTCGGAGGCTAAAATACTATTGACAACAATTGACTTACTTGCACAATTCTTCTTGCATCAAAAACGTAATGACGTTTTTTCGACCTTCGGCTGGTGAAACTAGCGTTCATCACTGTCAAGTGCATTTTCGAATAAACTTTATCTTTCCTCGTTAAACCTAATCGTTAAAAATGACAGTCAGTTCAGAATTTCGGGTCAAAGCAAGGTTTGTTTTTTCTCTTTAATTGATCAAGAATGAAACAAATTACCCAAATCTAAAAAGTAATCGCTGACGGCCTTCATCAACTTATCGATCGTCTTGGTATTGTCGATGGCATTGATGTGCACGACCCGAGCCCTCTTGGCATTCGTCGGAAACGTCCCGATCCCCTTCAAATCGAGCACGGGTGCAGGATTATTGTTCAGAAGCGGCCTGGAAAAATCACGCGCGATCTCGTTCATTAAAATCGTTGGCACGAGTCGAGTATATATTTCGTCGCCTCGTCGTAATCACGTCTCACATTATTATTTTCTCTTTGCAATGGTTGAAAGCGTCGAGGGCCTCCTGCAGCCTCTCCTCCGGCACCGACAGCATGCAGACGGTCAGGTGGAGCTTTTCCGGCTTCTGAAAGAGATAGGACAGACTCGGCGAGTCGACGGCGCAGTAGGCGATGGCGTCGCTCTGAAAGTCCTGCATGCGCCACTGCAAGCTCTGCTCGTTCAGCGGTATGGAGATGAAGTGGGTGTATCGGGGCTTGTTGTTGAATCGCTGCACCGTGCCGGCGCCCACGCACGACGAGCCGTCCTGCGACGCGTCGTATTCGTGCTCCGACAAATTGCCGCTACCGACGGAAGTTGTTGAATTTTCGCGCGATCTGTAATACGTCGAGATTTTGCTTGTTTATGTATGTGTAATGTACATATAGAGTCAGGGTGAAAAATCGTTACACATGTATACGATATACGAACGAACTTGTTGAAATAAGCAGCTAGATTGCCGACGCAATGCGCGCCGATCGATATGACCATGAACATTTTTTTAACTTTTAATAACAATTTGATAACAAATTTTATGAATAACAAACACAGGCACTCTGATCGCTCGATACGAGCTTTTACACATTTATTATAAGATCGACGAAGAAAGATTTCAGTTTATATTTGTGAACGTTCACTGCACGCGCTTCGGCGTTAATGTCACATGTACAACTAATCCATTCACGAACGTATACGTATATGGTTGACGCAAATATGTAAACAATAAGCAGAGACGCGTACGTTAAGATGCGCGAATATCGGCGAATCGATCTGCGCGTCGATTTCAGCCCTTTACAGGTGTATAATGTATATGCAGCATTTAAAACTCCGAAATTGATCTTTCATTCTTTTTTTATTCTTTAACTTATAGTTTTATTTCATTATTCTATTATAAATAAACGTCTGCACTATGAATTTTTCTCAAACATAACTAATATTACAAACTAAAATCTTGATCTCGGTATGAACTTTTATTTCAATAAAATGCCAATAATCCATCGAATTGTCAAAGAGAATCGAAGCTCAAGCAAATTAGATAGTTAAATAACTTTGCGTTTCATACCTCGTGTGTAAAACTATGATAATCCATCCAGTATGCTTGAAAATTCAATTTAATTAATTTTATTATATTTGAGAAAAATTATTTATTTATTATTTATGCATTTGATAGCTCGTGCGTGAAGCTATGTATTATATGTAAAGCCGACATCTCTGCCGGTTTTTGTGCCGCACATGTTTTTCTTTGCCTAGCTCGTCGTAGCGATATATAGCTACTCTCGCGCGTCGATGACCACCGCACCGCGTGTTGCGGCAGCGACATCGATCCCAACTCGAGACGATATACAGCATATATACATATAAGCATTTACGTGGAAAGTACGAGGAAAAACAGTCAGAGGGAGAGGAGACGAAGAAGAAGAAGTAGAGTTTCTATACGGGTCGAGCACGTGCGACGATTCCGAGATCGTCGTCTGACGCGCGATCGGCATTTTGCGCTCGCGGCATCATCGACGTTCTGTAATACTCTACTGTCTGTGTAGCTATAAGACCGCCCAGACGTCGCAGGAGCTGCGCTAGTATACATAAGCTCGCGGTTATATTATATAGCTGCTGGATTGCATTCCAAGAGCTAGTGCCGCTGCTACCGAGCTCACTTCCAGGCAGACGATTATCCCGCGCGCACTAGATGCAAAAACAGCTACATAGAAGCGAGCGAGAGCCCTCCGCAGGATCATTATATTCCCACAGAGGGATTTCTCTCTCTTTTCTCTTTCTCGAGCGCCCGAGCCTATAGAACAGAAACTTTTTGCCTCTCTTTCTCTCTCTCTTGCTTTATCTTTCTTACTCGTTCCCTCACTCTTTTCCTGCGCACTAGCACGATCAGCCTAGTAAAGTCGGTGTGCGAGTTAATATATACGTGTAGGTATGGTGTGTACAGCACATACACCGACTGTACATACAGCCAAGCTGGCTATATAATAAGTGACGTCAGATTCGTGCGCGATCGGTAAAGGGAGCGAGCTCACGAGCTGCTGCTGTTGTAGTTGTGCGATTTTCATTCTATATGGCGTTTCTCCGTCGAATTTTTTTTTTATAAATTAATGAAAATACTATTTAGCTATTTTATCAACATTTTTTGTCTTTTTCACAAATCCTTCCTGAACGAACTCCTAGAATGACTGAATGAATAGGTAATGTTACGTGGTTACAAAAATTAGGGAACTTTCCCAATACAAATTTCCCTCTTTCCCCTCCGAGCGACTGTACAATATCATATGAGAATGGCCAAAAATGAGTTGATATGAATTTTTTTGTCCACTCTCGATTTTCATAGTTCTTCAAAATCTTAGCCTCGGCGGTTTACAATCAAAACTTAGGTGGTATCAGTTGCCATTTTAATACATCGCTTTCAATTTTTTTAATGATGAAAGTTAGACTCAAGCTATATTATAGATCTTAACTTTAATGTTTCTTTTATAATAGGAAGCTGCCAACGTGCTTTAGCTCGTTTGGAATATTCTTCTTTTTTTCTAGAAAATTGGGACAATTCTTTAGTAAACATTGGATGAAAGATTTTTTTCCTAAAACTACAAAATTACGGGTGCTAAAGCTAGAAATTTGGTTTTCATAACAAAAACCATTGTTTTATTAAAACAGTCACTTTTAAGTCTCTGAAAAGAAGGATCTTGGAATAAAGAATGATTTAATAGAGAATCAGCCATATACACATGCCTATGTGTGTGTAGTTGTGGCGGCTCGCTCGCGAACCTATACCTATCCTGTATTATATCCTATGCCGCGCATTCCGCCGAGTGCCGTCGAGGCCCGCGCGTCGTCGTCGTCTTCGCAATTTCGCGCAGTGTGTGTGTACAGTGCCGAGTGCAGTGCAGCAGCCTAAGCTGCGAAGCTAAAAGTCCTCGAGTATCATCCATCGTCGTTGCAGCAGCAGCAGCAGCAGCAGCAGCAGCTCAGCGCAGTTTCTTAATTAATGGCATTCTCGGCAATGGGTGACTCGTGCGTTTTCATCTTGTCTTCTTTTTTTTCGCTCCTCTCTCTCTCTCTCTCTCTCACTTGTATAAAGCGTTGACAGCTTATAAGCGTGCTGGCAGCTCCGCTGTAGAGATATAAACACACGCTTTGCGCGACACAATATCGTGTGCCTCTCTCGCGCGTTACGGCCCTTTTTTCTTTTTAATTTCTTTTTTGTTCTCTCCCTTTCCTATTGCCCTTGACTCTTATACCGCCTTGTACGACGCCGAGTCTTGCCAAGTGCGTGTTATAAATATGTGTGCATGTGTGCGTGTGCGAGCTGTCTCGCGAGAGCCCGAGAGTGAAAGTACGATATACAGTGCGCGCATATAATATTGTAAAGCCGAGGTAATAATCAGGACGCGCGCGTGTAAAATCACTGTGATTCACGGCCGCGTGCTGTGCGTGGGTGCCCGAGCTTTGACGCCGTGGGTGTGCAGCCTTATTACGTATAAACGAATTATGCATTTATCGTTGCTCAATACTCAGCGGAACAGTATATTTTTGTGTATGATTTCAGATCGATTCGCTCGATCTCGCAATGTTGGTATATAAAATATAACGACGATACGAGCGAGAAAAAAAGTTCTCTACTACCTGTCGTTGTATGGTGTAAAGGTATAGTACATACAGTTACACTACGTGCCCAGCGTGCCAGCTGAGCAACTCTACTATATTCCTCATATTATACTAATGTATACGCGCGGGGACGTGTTTTCGGCTGTAGACATTAATCTTGCGCGACGTCCGGGCTAATTTTGTGTCTTCATTTTTTCTTCTTCTTTTTTTTTAATGACCGCACATCCGAGGGAACAGGTGGGCAGACGTCTTTAGCACGCAAAAGAGTTGTTATATTGTGTATACGCTTCATTGCAACCGGTTTACTATGTGTGCGCTATGTATGTCGTATTATATACAGTAATTTAGAACTTGCCTGTCGAGTATCGTAATTGCTGCTTTTAACTCGTGTTTGTAATGCTCAATGAATTTTTTTTTCGAGGAATTTTTTTTTAACATCAAGCGCGTCTAAGGCTTAATTCTATCTTCATTTAAAATTAAGTTTGCAAAATTTAAATAATGTTTTTGCTTAGAATTGTATTTCAAACGTTTTTGATTTAGTTTCGCTTGCATCGAAAGTATTTGAGTTAAATAAAAGTGTATTCACATCGTTATCTATGAGAAGCAGTTGATTATATCACTTCAAAATGCCGCCAAAAGAATACTCGGAAAAGTACAAAGCGAAGACACTTGTTACATATCAAATAGAAAAGACATAAAACGTTTTTGAACCATTTCAATCTTCGAGTCTTTGAAATCAAAACTCGTCCGTTTACGTACGCATTAAGAAGAAAATAATGTGAAAGTATATGTTTTTTTCTCGAGAAATTTCATTCAAATCGCCTATGTTGACATTGATATATATCGTACACATTTCGCGTGTTTGTACATTAGATACGGTATGTCAGTTTGGCAAATCGTTGAATTTTACGAAGCGTAAGACACACGTAGAAACTTTCGAGCACAATTAACATCGAATAAGCGCCCGCGCACAAATGAGAATAATATGAAAAATACGACTTTCATAAAACGCCTCTGTATTTTTTTTTATCGCGGCATCAAAAAAGTCAGAAAACTGCTATGATTTGTTGTTAATTAATAAAAAAAAGCTTCAACTTTCCAACTTTGTACAATACGCTACATCTGTTTCAAGAGGCCCCATTGAAATCGCCGAAACGTTATTACACACTCATACACGCGTATTTCGCTGGATCATTCCGAGGAAACGTTACGTTCTTATTATTTCACAGTTAATGGCGTTTTTCGATTTCCTTTTTATTAATCAAGCGCTCATTATATTAATTTTCATTGTCTCGCGCGCCGGCACAATACGTCAGAGTTTACAGAGAAAAAAAACCTTCTCACAGCCTATATGGCGCATATTATACGTAACGGTTTATCTCGCGCGCGCGCGCACTACCGAAATGATTCGCGCGAGCTTTTCACCTTTCACGACGGAGAGACACGGGGTCAACGCGCGCGTTATAAAAAAACAGAGACAAGGAAACAATATCGAAGATTTTTCCGATCAATTAGTCTCCCTCGCGCGCTCGTGTATGTATAGTAGGAGTTCACGCGAGAATATATAATAATGGCATCGGAAAAGATCGTAGCGCTGCGATTACAAGCTGCACACACATACACACGTGATAACAACAATGACTCAATACGTAGCGGGCCTGTGCTACATACATGTATATTATAGAGTCGGATGCTATCTATCCCCATTGTGTGTGTATGTGTGCCTATGTGTCTTATGCAAAATGTAATCCAGCAGCGGCGAGCATAGGAGTAGAACAAAAAAATAAGTCCTGTGTGCAGCGTTTTCAGGATGTCTATTTGCATTCGCTCTTGTCTGTTCCCTGTGTGTGTACGTGTGTATGCATTGTCTGTATGCATCTCTACTATATGCTGATATTGTGCAGGCTCCGCGAGGGACCGCGCAACACGTGACGGCTATATCTAAATAAATTTATTCGCGTCGAGAAGTGCATATGGTTGCTTCCACCAAAAGTGCCTCTTTTTCTATTATATATTTTTGCAGAGTTTTTAGGCGTCTTTACAAAAGTTCCTCGCGATTTTCGCAAATTTCGCTGCTTGTTAAATTATTTCGGTCCCATAAATAAAAAATTTAATTTCGATCGAGTCTCAACAATCGATAACAAAATTAATATTTACTTTCGCTATGAAACTCAATCATTTATTTATTCTTGAAGTCACTGATAATTCAATGTAAAAATCATCGACAAACAGTTTCTATAGACTGAAAAAATAATTTTGTTTTTCAAATTCGAGCTAGAAAATAATCTGCACTTTCGGCGGAATCGATCGTATATGACAAGCCGAGCGTAGTATATAAAACGCTTCGTTGCGCTTGACCGAGATTAGTTTATTGTCCCATAGCGCATAATGTACATCCCAGAACTTATTTCTATAACTATATTATAGATATGTAATAACGCGGCTGATACACGTGACGCGCCTCAAATATATGTTTGCTTGTCGGCATTTATACACATAAAATCGAATCGCCATTGCATTTCCTGGACTTGGGCCAGTTTATTGGCACTAGCGCGCGGGTATATTCTTTTGTTTCGACTTGCTTCGAGTTTCTCTGCAAACGCGCACTACCGATTCCACGGTAGTTCTTTTACTACTAAGCCCATATTGTAGGTACCACTATAAGCGCATCCGCTGAACGAGTAAAATTTTTCTTTGTTTCTCGCGCGTCGATGTAATTGCATGAGCCTGCATATTGTACCTCTACGTGTTTACTGTAAAGAGCATTATACGTTAGCCATTTTTGACAACCGTTCTCAAGTGTCACGTGCTCGCGCGTCGACAGCTGATTACGTTATATAGACACTTATCAATATGTAAAAACCATCAAATACACGAAATACATGTACAAACACCGCAAATCTAGAACGAGTTTATGCGACGCAATCGTCTTAAAACTGGGCCAATCGATGAAATCGACCGCGAGATGAATAATAATATAAATTTTCCTTTTAATTTTTATATACGTCTGTCATTGTTGTCTTTCGATTGCAGGCGCACGAGACGTTGACTGGAGAATTCTGTGCTCGCTACAGCAAACGAACGATGAGCCGTCAAATTGATACAGAAGAGGAAGACGAGACAGCGAGTAACAACAGAAGCAGCAACAGCAGCAGCATATCTCCAAGTCAAACTCGCAAGTGCAAAAGACGACGAAGAAGCGACTACCCAACGCGATTGTCATCGTCGCGCTGATCTTGTACCCGCCGGCGAATGTCGCGCTCGCGTAGGCCTCGTCGTAAAACGTCGCATCTCGCCGAATCCGTGGACGTGACAGATCGCGACGATTCACCAAAATCGTTCGTCGTCACTTGGTAATCGTGCATATATATCCATACATGTTGCATCATGTGGCCGAGGCCCACGAAGATATGCCGAGTCTGGCCGGCGCTGCTGCTCGGCTTGCTGTTTCTCGGCCTGCTGCTCGTTTACAATACGAAGAACGGAGCCAGCGCCAATTACGAGGATCGCAATTACGAGTCCGTCGGCGATATCGTGCACGTTCAGTAAGTCGAGATGCAATTTTTTATATTGTCTGTATTTTAAAGGTAAACAATGTCTGTGTGTCTTTTATATCTGGTATTCATTTTCGAGATCGACTCTCTCTCTCTCATTTGGAATTAAAAGGCTTGCAGGCGTTGCGTTGTTCGACGCTTCCGCCCCGTAAAAGCTTCTATAGATTGTAATCGGCGTAAAAATCGTTATTGTCACTTCCTCGATCCTTTGAGTTAGGCAGTATTTCAAAAGAAGAAAACAACAACAACAACTACAAAGTGGAAGTGACGCATCGTAAATTCAAGCCGATTATCGCGCACACGATTCCTGGGGTTTTAAGAGCACAGCTACATAATACCGCAACAGTAAAAAAAAACGCGATAAATCACGATTGAGCTGTATTATTTTTGTTTTTCCAACCAGACTCGCCGATGGACAGAAAGAGTACATCGACAAGCGGGGCGTGCACGTGGTCGTGGGTCACTACGTCGGCAATTCCATGGATCTGCAGCAATCGCAAAACATCACTAAAGGTATACAAATAATAATAACGAAATTTTATTCTCTATTTACGGGCGACTCGAATTATAACGATACTAAAACGGAACCTACTCGTTAAATTTCTCAGATTTGATGAACAAAAACATGTTCGATCCGCGCCCGTACGAGGGTAAGAACGGCGAGCCGGTACAAATACCGGCCAAGGATTTTCAGCTGATGCAGCAGCTATTCCAGATAAACCGCTACAATTTGCTGGCCAGCGATCGTATACCGCTGAATCGCTCGCTGCCCGACGTCCGCAAAAAAAGGTAAACGGCCTTCTCTGCCTCCTCTATTTCTTTCCATTTTATTGCCGCGCGAAATAATATTTAAAGCCGCAGCTATAACGACGAACGCTTATGTATTATCATGATAAATTATTTATTGTAAAGAAATGTTTCTGCTGCAACAGGTGCATAGCTCGCTACTCGAACCTGGCCGATCTGCCAAACACCTCGGTCGTCGTGGTCTTCCACAACGAGGCCTGGAGCACCCTGCTGCGCACGGTGCACAGCGTCATAAATCGATCGCCCCGCCAGCTGCTCAAGGAGATCATACTCGTCGACGACGACAGTGATCGGGGTGAGTTTCAGTCCGCACTTACGCCTACTATAACGCAGATAAAGCGAACGAATTTTCACGTTATTTTCGTTCGACTTTGCAGACTTTCTGAAGCGGCCGTTGGACGATTACGTGTCGAAGCTGCCGGTACCCACGCGAGTCCTGAGGACTTATCGGCGAGTCGGTTTGGTGAACGCTCGCCTCATGGGCGCCAAGGAGGCCAAAGGACAGGTCTTGACTTTCCTCGACGCCCATTGCGAGTGCACAATAGGTACGTTGTTGTTGTTGTTGTTGTTGTTGTTGTTGTTGTTGTTGTACGCTACAACAATAAGCAACGAAAGCAGCAAGGTTGCTTCCTGCCGCGCTTTCATCGTACGCTATTACTCACTTTGATGCGCATTCAAGTGCATATAACGAATTGTTTATTTATACACATAATGCTGTTTCAGGTTGGCTGGAGCCTTTATTGGAAGCCATTTCAAAGGACCGCACGAGAGTCGTATCTCCGGTCATAGACATAATTAATGACGATACGTTCAGCTACACCAGGTGCGAAGCGTACAAAGTTTCATACATTTTTTCTTTTTTTTTTTTTTTGTCGTGCGAACGTGAACGCACCGTTCAATGACTTCGAGATAATTGCGCAAACTCATATAATACATATTATTTATGCGTCGTGTGTACGTGTATCACAGCTTGACCCCGAGAGCAAGCGCACAATCGTCTCGAGCAGATAAGCACTCGCGACTTTGTTTCACGCGAGCTTTTTTCTCAAATCTTTCCCTTTTTTTTCACTCTCTCTCTCTCGTCGCACAGATCGTTCGAGCTGCACTGGGGCGCCTTCAACTGGGACCTGCACTTCCGCTGGCTCATGCTGAATGGCCTGCTGCTGCAGGAGCGCAGAGAGAGCGCCGTCGAGCCGTTCAAGACTCCGGCCATGGCGGGAGGCCTGTTCGCCATGGAGCGCGACTACTTCTACGAGCTCGGCGCCTACGACGAGCAGATGCGCATCTGGGGCGGCGAGAACCTCGAGATGAGCTTTCGCATATGGCAGTGCGGCGGCAGCGTCGAGATCGCGCCCTGCTCCCACGTCGGCCACATTTTTCGCAAGTCCTCGCCCTACACCTTTCCCGGTGGCGTTGACGACGTTCTCTACGGTAATCTCGCCCGGGTCGCCCTCGTATGGATGGACGACTGGGGCAAGTTTTACTTCAAATTCAATCCTCGTAAGTATCGTCATCGCTGATGATTATAATCAAGGCCGCTGTTGATATAATATTTGACGAGTTTGTGGATTAAATTTCACAGAGGCAGAGAGAGTCAAGGACAAGCAGCAAGTAAGAGCCAGATTGGAATTGCGCGAGCGTCTCAAGTGCAAAAGCTTCGAGTGGTACCTGGACAACGTCTGGCCGGACCATTTCTTCCCCAAGGATGACAGATTCTTCGGCCAGATCGTTCACGGCTCGTCGGGCAAGTGTCTCATGAGGCCACTGTCGAAGGGCGGCTACTCGCAGCCGCTGGGCTTCGTCAGCCAGCAGGACTGCATCGCGCCGCCGAGCCTTGCCCAGATGTTCGTTATGACCAAAACTGGCTTCGTACAGACCGATGAGAGTGTCTGCCTCGACATCTCTGAGAAGGAGAGCAGACACAAGCCGAAAGTCAAACTGATGACCTGCAACGGTTCGCCCGGTCAGACGTGGTTCTACGATGACACGGTTCGTCAATTTATACATGTTTTTACAATGGTCTTGATCGAATCTTTTATTTAATCGAATTGACACCTTTTTTATTTGCACAGAATAAAGTTTTGAAGCACGTCGCATCTGGCATGTGCCTCGAACGATCTGCGGATGATAATCAAAATCCTGTGATAGCTCACTGTACATACAATGACGATCAAAATTGGGAGCTAAGGAGTGTTCCTTGGAAATGAATGAAGAGTGCCTTAATCACTTTTGAACAGATGTCGTAGACAAAAAACTTTTAGTTAATCCAACCAAAAACATTGAATTTTATATCAACAGTTTTTGAAACTTTCTAATCATGCAAAAGTTTCAAAAATCATATAAAAGACTGAACTAATTAGTTTGAATACAATCAAGGAAAAATGATTATTACTAATTATTATAACATTTAAGTTTCGAGTGTTCATTTATTATATTCACATTTATAAATAATAAATGTACAAAGTTTAAGAAAATTAATAAGTAAATTAATAGTGCTATAATATAAACATATCTATGTACAGTTTTAAATAATTAGGAATGTTAATCAATTTAATTAGAAGCATCAATGATTTTATTTACAATTTAATTGCTTATAAAACTTATTTATAGTTGGAATATTTTTGTCTGACTGAATTTTTACAATCTTACTTAGTACTTAGAATAATCATTGCAAACGAAAGATTCGTTTTTATAAAGCTCGAAAATTGTATATTATAATTTGTACAGACTAGAAAATAGATCTATTTTATACCCAACAATTTTATGGGAAAAATCCATGAATAATTTTTCTTAAATTGTCGAGCTTTGACCGAAGTGGATTTTGTTAGATTTATACATGTTCTCTTTATATTGTAATTTTCCATTGAGTTTTAATTGCACAAGTTTCCAAGAAAGTTCATGAGACAAACCATAATTTAAAGATAATCAATGAAGAGTCAATTTTGTACAAATTCAGTATGCAACTTTAGCCATCTAATGGAGGACCCAGGTACACCATAGAAACTTCCGTATTTCCATACACAGCAGATACTGCTGGATATAGTCTTTTATCTGGTAAACCTAAAATGAAAAAAATTTATTACATCTTTGTCAAAACAATTATAATTTAGTTCTTTGATAAGTGTATAGTACGAACCTCTAAATGCTACTCCTAAAAATTCATAGTTTTTCTCGAATGATAATGTATTATCATCACAATCTAATATTACCCTAATTCTCTCTCCAACCTAAGTAAAAATTAATTTAAATGTTTTATTTGATAAAAGTAATGATAATAAAACATAATGAGACAATACTTGATATTTTGGTGCATTGTTAGGAAGAGGGTAATTTCCTTGAGCGTCTCCATTATGAAGTAGATTGTTATCTACTAAGTTCCAGCCCCAAGAATGTTCATCGGAGCCAAGTAAAGCAACATAGCCCGGGCATACCAAAGCTGCCTCCTTAGTCGCAATTCCAATAACAGCAACAGTTCCAAGAGGACCTTCCCAAATTACTTCCCAAGCGTGTCTTCCATGCCTAAAACCTATCTTCCCCCTGCAAGCATCTGTACTTTGAGCAATTGGATTTCTGAAAAAGAAAACATTTGTTACAATTTTTTTAATATTATCTGAGCACAATTTTATTCAAAAATGCTTACTTGAACTTACCTATGTAAAGTAAAATCATTGAACTTTGTGTAAATATTCCTGGAACAATCATTGGTATTCCAAGCATAGTAGTGGGCTCTGAGCTTAGCTTTAAAAGTCGGCACAGTAGACAATAGATCGGAGTTTAAAGTCTCTTCGGTGAGTCTTCGCTGGCAGTGCATTCGCCAAATGTCGTTATTCTCGTCGTAGTTGAGGCATCGGTGCCACTTTTTGCAAACTAGTTGACAATTACCCAGAGTATACAGATCCAAGTGTGAAAATATCAGCTCGAGTATGTGATCTGGAAAATTTGCTATAGAAGCCATCGTTACTACGACAAGCCACTGATAATGATTACAAACGATGAGCAAGACGAATCATCACTCAAGTCCATTTGTATACAATTTGACGACGAAACTTTTAGTTTACGTAGATTAAAGTATATACAAAGTGGCAGAGCGCGTCGTCTGCGCGCGTGGGGTTGCAAGCGACATGCAACTTGCTTGGGGTAGGCGACGTACTGCGTGCCGCAGCTGCCAGACAGCCTGACAGCAAGATAGGTGGTGAGCAATAGATAGCGCCAGTATCGACCGGCAAACACGTGCGTATGTAGTTATAGCTTTGTATCCTGTGATGCTCATGTCCACTTTCAATTCAATTCAACGTATGTCATTATCGAGAGTCAGCTAAAGGCTCAAGCTTACTATGCTATTGATTTTTACGGTACATTTTATCTGATGTTCACTTATAATACGTAAATTTAGTTTGTTAATAGCTTTATCTTAAAAGAGAATCAAACGTTTTTAATACTAAAAAAAGGTTTGAAAGGAAAAAGAACAATTCTTATAAATGACTGAATAACATTTGATTTCACGCCCCTTTGCTCATATTTATTGTTAGTCAATATATATTACTTTTGTTTTTATAAAATCAAATGATAAAATTGCATTAGTTTACATAATACATAATGGTGTCAGCTACAGAATTCGGTAACTTTCCTTCGATCAATAATCTCCCAGGATCTAATTGAATATTTTGATTACAATATTCTCTAACTAAAATATTAAGGGCGTATCCTCTTATAATTCCTGCGATTGTTGGGCATTTTTGTTCAAACTCTTCTGAATCAACTACTGACATGAATGTAGATCGCTTTAAAAGTTCATGAGCCTCTTTGTGATTACTCAAACAAAAGTCGAAAAGTGTTGTACGATCATTTATCATAATTTTATCAATCAATCCAATTTCTCGCTTTATAGTTTTGATACTGTATTCAATCGTAGTATGTGAGCCTTTGTCTTTTTTTCTTAAATCTTCTTCCATTTGCTCCAGATAACTGCGCATCTCTTCGCTCATGTACATTTTAGTGAAATGGTAAGTTTGAAGGACGGTCACAATATGTGCGATAGCTATTTTTCTCACATTATAACGGAGATCTGGTAATTCATTAATTTGGGCAATGTAATTGCAATAGTTGCGAATTGTCCTTGCACTACCTGTTATAAAAATTGCAAGCATTAAATTCGTGTAATTTTTACAATGATGCGTAATTCAAAGGTTTACCTGATTCTATTACGAGCGGACAATAAATTAAGCTGCGTGCGGGAGCTTCTTCGAATCCAATTAAAAATTGTAATAAAGAAGCATTATGGCTGCTTTTCATTCGAAAGCCATGACTCTTCAAAAGCTCAACAATGTCCAACATATATCGGGTCATTTTCAGATCTCGTAGTATTTTATTGGAAGGACTCAAAAATCCTCCTTGGAAGTTTACATCGTTCACATCAGCGCCGTAATCCAAAAGCACCTCGACCGCATGTTTATTGCAATGAGACACAGCCACATTTAGGGCAGTGTCCCCAAAGCGATCCTTGACATTTACATTTACTCCGCATTCCAAAAGTAACTCAACCATTTCTACGCAATCCGGATAACTTTTCACGGCAGCCGAGGTTTTACTATTTAGGAGCAAGTGCAATATCGTTTGGCCGGACTTGTTGATAAGCCTGGGATTGGCTTTGTTGCACAAAAAAAGTTTCAGCGCAAACTTTTGGACGCGATTGAATGGGATACCTCTGCTAAAAAGATTTAACAGTGGACTATTGCCTTTTTCATTGCAATTATTAAACTTGCATTTACGCTTGACGAAAAGTCCCAAGATTTTTTTACACAGATCTTCGTTCTTGATATTATAATGTTGCAATTGACTGAAATGGTCAAAGGGCGTCAGGCGCGCGTCGTCAAAAATATTCGGACTAGCGCCTCTGTTCAACAATAGCTTAACAACATTCAAATGTTGATTAGTAACTGCCAAATGTAACGCTGTGGTATATTTTCCATATGATAACTCACAAGGCTGATTTATGTCAACGCCTTGATCCAAGAATTTCTGTACCATGGAAAGGTTGCCCGTTATGCAGGCCGCGTGAAAATGAGAGTAATTTCCAGGACTGACATAGTTGTCGTCTCCGTAAATATTGAAAAGCAGATCAACACTTTCGAAACATGGGACTAATGCTGCGGCATGAATCGCCGTCGTAGTCAACTTGTTCATCGAACCCACTTTTATGCCAAGGTGATGAAAGTACTTCACGATCGTGTCATTATAGTCTTTTACCGAATATTTTAGTACGGAGTTCAAATCTTCGGGTTTCAGCGCACTCAATTTTTTCTTGGTGAACGTGTCAAATGTTTCAGTAGTGCCGTTGTAGAGAGAGAAACGTTGTTTCAATTTTGTGTATTGGTTCAGCCAACAACTGTCAAATGGCTTCGGTACTTTTTTCATTCCATAATGCATGGTAGCTTCAATACGCAGTATTGAAAATACGCAGTATTGTTATAAACACAAGACGATTAAAACTTCTAGTCACTATTAATACTTCAGTTGTCACTGCTGATAACGTAACCATAAAAAATTACATTGATACTTTCAAACAGTATAGAACGTCGAAAATGACTAAAATGACACTGACTTCAACGTAACTGTGTCTTAAACTGAGTCAGAATTTCAGACTTGTAGATTTGAAAGTGCCATGATGCTTTGTTTGGACTTTCTCTATTGCTACACTAGCTGAACGGACCAATGTAATACTACTACAAATCAATTATTACCGAAAGGAGCGCTCCAAACTTCTGACAGAAATTATACTCATATTTAATTTTATGGGAGAATTATTAAATAAGTGACTATTCCTATTTTTATGAATAAAATGTTAAGAAAGTAAGACTTTGTCCTACTTCAAAATAGTAAATTCAAATGCAAAAATTTACTTGAAGTTTTTACTTAACTGCTCGTTCTGAAGTCTCTTTATTTACCAAGGTGTAAAATCGAATGGACCAAGAGCTTGAAAGTATCTCAAAATAACAATAGTAACTCGTGAGGTAAACATGAGAATATTTTCAGGCCCTTGAAAAAAATGAATTCTCTGAATTCCTTTGGTAGTTAATATATACTTTTTTATTAATCAAAATTAAATATTTTAAAATATTATGTAGCTTATGCTTTATAATTTTTTGGTTTGAAAATAAATAATTAAAAATTAGTATAAATAGTTAAAGTAAATAAATCTTAATCAGAACCCAATTACATTATTGAAACTATGTATAGTATTCAAATTTGTATAATATTTTTATAATGACAAATAACAAATGAAAATATTAAATAATTCAAACAATTCATTATGTATTTCAAACAAGATTCTCCGTTTAACTTGCATAAATGCGAGTCTATAACGTTTGAATTGAAAAAATTAACAGAGAATATTTGTATGACTATCGCAAACAGGTAACTTAATCCTTCAAAATCGCCCTCAAAAAATATTTGGTTCAATGAAACTGAAAAATAGATTGAAACTAGATATTATTCACTCTATAGCATATAAAGCGAAACTACTTCTATTATTGAAGCTTTCTACATTTACTTTGAATAAAATTATCATAAATTAACTTGTAATTGTGTAACTCTTACAATTATGTACGTACATAAATGCATAGAATGTATCATCATTTTACTATTTTGATCGGTTAATTTATGAACAAAAATTAAATTGTCTTTAACAAGTAATTCGAAGCAAGACTTGACTTTGAAATTTGCCAAAACGAAGTGTACTGATTACGGCCGATCGAGGCGGTGAAATCGATCGCATCGGAATTGAAAGACGGCGTCGCACGGCCGCGGCAATGGTCACCGCTGCCACGAGCGCGGCGATCATCGCACGAGAGCCGTGGACCCTTCCAGCTCCTCGACCGAGGCAGCCGTACCAACGAGACGAGTCAGAAGCGGCACGATCAGCGACGACGGGCGGCGGCGGTGGCGAGCTGGCTAAATTAGATAAAGTCGAGGAGAGGCACGCAAGCCGAGAAACGCGACCGTACCGATCAATGGCCGGCGCGGTGCTGCTGGGCCATGATGTGGGCCGGGCCGGAGCCGCAGAGATCCCGGCCTGGGGAGGAGGGCCCTTGAGGGCTCTTGACGGCCAGGGCGTCCCAGCATGCCCCGGCCGAGATGACTTTGCTCTCCTCGTTTCCATGGATCTGCTTGAAGTTGTGCACCGAGTAGCGATTGTACAGGCCCCAGATGCTGTTCATCAATTTGCTGCTGTAATGGGGCGCCGAGAGCTCGCGACCTGCAATCAAAAGTCGTTCGCGCGAGTCAGATCGTTGGCCGCCCCGAATACCGATCGTCGAGGGTGATCTCATCGAGCCTCACCTTCTTCGAGGTTGAAGGCTCCGCTCTTGTTGTCCTGCTTGTCCTCCTCGGCGTGGATGTTCAAAATCCTCGGCAGGTCCTGGTTCTTGCGTACTTTCAGAGCGGCGAAGGCACCTTGAGGGATAGCCGACATCTTATAGCATTCTGTAGGCAATAATTCGCAAAAGTTACGCTGTGCTCGCATTCGTAATACGTACGATGATCACGCGGATGGATAAGAGCTTTTGTACAAGAAAAAGAAGCTAGGATCGCGGCCGGCGGGGCGAGGGACGAGCGGGGACCGTGCGATTACGAAATGCCGCGCGCTGTTCTATGATATTATATTATATATTCACCAGAGCAAGTGAGTCGCAGTATCGCTCGCTCGATGTGCCTCTTTGGCGCGGCGATGATAAATCGGTCGCGCAGCAGCAGCAGCAACAGCAGCAGATCGGCGAAAAAATCGCGATGCTCGCAGGCGCTCGTCAGCTTAGCGAATCGACCACGAGCAGCTTCCTTGAAACCTGAGCCTAGGGCACTCAGACTCATGCAGATGACGTTTATGGCGATGCTTAGCCTCGACAAATCCAGCGGCAGCAGTAACCGATGATCGTTGGCGACGATCGGAGGAATCACTTTGTTATTCGAGACGCGTGGGAAAGTCCAATCGGTCACTCTATTAGTTCGGTCGACTTTATACACTTGAGTTACTTATGAAAGTTCCCTTAAAATATAATCACAAAAATTACGGTAACAATCGTCATTCACTATTTGGTTTATTTTATTTCTTGTTCGTTTTCGTACGCAACCAACTGCGCGGATGAATCAGACGGCTATTTGATGCAGTGGGCTCGAAAACAAGACTCGCAAAAACACAAGTTTCGGATCGCTCGGAGAAAGAGGATGAGAAAAGCGGCGTTAGCAAGCATGAGCGATGCAGCGCAACAGTGGAAAAGCAGCCAGAACAACTACTGACCAGATTCGCGGCGAGCTGGAGCGATTTATAAGTTCGCTGCGTGATCGGTTATCTCGAGCTTATCGTCCAACTATGATACAAACACACACACACACATATGCATCGACGCGAGCATACATTATTATTATAAATTAAATGCAGAAATCCGCAATCGATTCTCGTCGCTCGGCGTGTGCGTGTTTCATGCTCATTCTATTGACGACGAACTATATCGTAACGCGCGAAATTGTTTTGAAAGACGCTGTTTTCTTCGTCGCCATTTGTTCCTTCTCTCTCTTTCTTTTTTTTTTTCGCTCTCGTCTTGTCTTATAATTTTATAATATTTACGAACTCTACTCGACGCGGCAGACGCACTTTGCGGGGAGTCCGATTACGAGTCCGGCTCCGTTCTGCGCGATCTTTAACACGTATGCACGCGGACTACAAACACATAATACGCATGTATCGAGAGAGAGAATGATAAGATGCGAAAATAAATCACGTACGTACAAACGGATATCAACTTCGATGTACTCGAGCCTATCTCTTTTCTTCGATTCTCCCTCTTGGAGTCTGGTTCGAATGAATCGGTGCAGCGGAGGACGCATACGCGAGGCGCGATAAATTGGACACGTGCGGGCCAGCCATCGTCACGGTAAGGTCTTTGTCGACGGCAACAATAATAACAATAAGCAAATGAACGTAATTTCTTTTTCTTTGGCTTTTTTTCGGAGACCAACGCAAAACTCAATGAAGAACAAAAGATGATCGCGCGCACTTATATGCTGGCGGCAAAAGTCAACGTACGTTTGATTTTTCCTCGTTGAATCGCTGCGCGGTTCATTGAAAATCTTCGCTGTTTATAGTACGTGTACAATATAGCGCGTAGAAGTTTTTTGACCGATTATCGCGCTCGATCGCTGTTTTCCTCCCGTGGTTTAAAATTAGATCGCATTTTATACAGTGTTGCGTTTTCTTTTTATCGGCCGAACCGTTGCCAGCTCATGTTGTAATTGACGCACGACGTTCGCGCTATTATGAAAATAGTCCGAAAGAGTATTTTCACGTCTCGATAAGAACTCGAGCACGGCAGACTCGAACAGGCGCGTTAAAAAGCGATAGAGACGCACGGACGACAGTCACCGGGCGGCGATCGAGCAAATTTCAGCTGAATGTATTCGGTGCAATCGTGTATACGTTATAAATTCAACGCGAGCCGAGAACATTTACAATGTCATTATTACTTCAACTTTAGGGTTATCTCGGCAAGACGAGCTCGTCGCTGTGCGCTTATGTATTTTGTGTATACTTCTCTCGCATACGCTTGTTAAATGTCCGAGCTTTAATCCGATAACCAACACACGCGCACACTCGAGCTTTTTGTAAGTACAAAAACAGCGCGACGTGGATTGAGATTTTTTCATCATCGTCATCGGTATAATTATTATTATTATTTTTATTTTACTTTTTCCCAAGACATCGCATCGATGCCAAAACGATACTGCCGAGCGGCCGCGTGCTCGCAAATTGTCTGCCGTAACGTCCGAATATGAACTCGCTTGCCGATCATTCCACGACAAGAGAGTGTTACGAAAAAGATTCTTGCGCGCGCGCACATAGGATCTGTACACACGACGACAGATTAGCATAAATTTGCCTAAAAGTATTTTGAAGTGTCTTTTTTTCCTCTCTGTTTTATTTATATATTACGGATCGCCACGTGTTTATCAATTATTAGTGCTGGCGCGCGCGCACACGCGGGTTTCAAGACGATTATTATATACGCAGCCAGATCATATTATATGCGAATTGTGGTCGCCGAAGCATCGTCGACGCCAGTATGGCGATTGCATTTGTAAAAGTTGGATACATATCGTAAACGTAAGTCTGCGTATCGAGCCAGCCTCTCTCTCTCTCTCTCTCCCTTCATTTTTGCATCATCGAGACAACAAAGAGCCCGAAAATGTCGATCGACATTATTCAACGAAGTTGGACGCTGCGAATATGTCTGCTGATCGTGTTGATAGGTCCGCTGCGAGCTTGGCCGACGAGGGATCCGGATGCCATAACGGTATTTATTATTACTCAAAGTCACTTCGTATTACGCAAGATGGCATAATAATTCACGAGCCATTTTCTCTCTCTCTCTCTCTCTCTCTCTCTCTCTCTTTTTGTTTAATTGTGAGTGCAGTTCCCCGACGACGACGAATATACCCGCATAGGGATCGAGCGCGAGGACAAAAAAATCAGGGGGTCCGCTGACGCCCAGAACCACTTCTACGACGGCAAGAACACGAATTTCGACGGTAAGGAAACGAATTTCGACAAGGACAAAATCGAGGATGGACTTCAGACCGACATCAGATTCATCATCGGTGCGCCCTATCGCTGGGCCTGTCCCCCATGCGAAAAGCGCGACCACGAGATGAGATGTCGGAGAGTTTCTCCCTGCAAAGAAAATCCTTGAGCGATTAATCGAGAGTGATGTTCATTGTGAAGAGACTGATCGATGTTGCAGACTGCCAACGGAACCCAGTGCAATGTGATGACATTTTTCAAACACTGATTCATTTCATTAGTTACAAAATATCGATTGTTTAATAAAGACTTAATTTTACTCGCATGCAAAATCATTATTATTATTTTTTTCATCTCCCCACCGATTTTTACGAAAATCATACGAAATGTCACGAACGCATGAATTAAAATTATATACTGTCATTTCCTCAGCTTCTCAGGGTTATCTCGACGTCGCTGTACCCTCGATCTCTATATGTTATATGCTTGAAGCGATAAAGCTCGCGTATCGTTGTATTCATGTTCGTCGAGTCTGCTTGTGGTATATTCAAATCTCAAGTCCAGAACAGAATGACCAAATTTGGGTCAATTTGGTTCTTTCTTTGAGTCCCATTAAATCTCTTCGCGCTTTTACATTTATTTATTTATTTACTTTTTTTTTAACGAAGTAAGAAAAAATTCGTGCACTAGAGTGTACGCATAAATGGAATTTTTTGATATTTGTGTAATATATCACGGTATAAATGATCATACCAATTGGAGATTAACAATACCGCAGTGCATCTATGCTCTCAATGTGTTTTCCCATAAGATGCTTACATATAGGCTTTTGCGTAGTTATCTAATAATAAAATACACTGAGAACTTCAAGGCATCTCAAGGCGCTACTGTATCGTGAAATCTCGGATAAAAATTATTTTTATCAATTATCGATTGTTAAAAGATAAAAATTGTCAACCACTTTAGTAAGATTTTCATTTTTATGATGCACTTTTCTAACTGCATTAAATCGTACTATTCTTCTCAAGTATTTTTTGGTAAGTACTGAAGCAAGCTTACAATGAAAAATGTGTTGTCACCAACCAAACTGTCGAGTTTCATTTTAAGAATTTCTCATTCTTCTGCAAGTAACCAAGTTATCTTCGAAAACGCATAAGATTGTTACCCCATGAAATACTATCTCTTGTTCTTTTCTCACAGAGTCGAACCAATCAACGGTTTTATGCTATTTTCACATTGCCCAAAGTAAAATTTATTTTCATTTCCAAAGTATAAACTTGGTAGATGAATTAATTGATAAAGAGGTCAAAATAAGAGGCAGAAATTATGCTTTAATATACATTACAACCATAGGATTTTAAATCCATCATAATTATTATCTCTAATAGTAATTTGTGTCTCGAACTTTGAAGAGACAAAATAGATGAAAGAGACTGAGCCTCAAAACTGCATTTAAGATATACATAAAGTGAGCTCCGATGTCGATCTGTCAAGTCAATTTTTAATATCGGGATAGCTTTGGATGATAATTGTAATCTAGTAATAGTCTATAAAGTTCCAATCATTACCTCCGTTAATAATACATTCAGTCTGAAATAATTAAGTTTTACCCAGTTTTAAGGCGTTGTGAATCGAGGTAGAAAACAAAACGGAATTATAAAAAAGATTCACACTTATTAGTGTTTACGCGCTATAATTAATAAGAGTTGTCATCAGTCAAGTTATGTAGTCATCGACCGAAGTTGCTCGGAATGCCGATTGGCGAGAACAACAATAGTATAAGTTGCACCTAAAAAATTTGGAATTTAACTTTAAGGTTACATTTGAAGGTTTCTTGCGGGGATCATGGTATAATTTCTTAAATTGTTTTCCTAGTCAGAATCTACGCTGAAAGCCTCTGACTTGACTAGCTATTGTCATTATCTGATTACCATCAATTATATACGGAATAAAAAGTTGAACAATCTCATAAATTTATTTTCAATGTCATTTATTGCGGGAATCCCAAGCGATAAAGTGAGATTTTTGTAAACTATTTTTTTTAAGAACGTTCGTAAAAAAATAGTTCGCCCGAAGAAAAAGGAAACGAGCGAAACGTTAATTTGTAAAACTTGGATAAAATTAGAGGTGTTTCAGATTTTGCGCGGTTTAATTAAATCGTAATATAATTTCTCGCAATTATTCTGGAGGTAAAAATGTGGTTTGAAAATTTTCGAGGACACCCGTACTCGCATTAAACTTTTGAATCGAGACGATTATATATTAGTTGGAGCTCGAGACGTTGCTTACAGGCAGGTTTTCTCGACACGCCTTTTGCAATATACGCACGCAGTACATCGTTAAGGCCTTATGGAAAACGTTCGGTGCGCGTAAGCAGGCGCGACGATTGAAAAACGACCATATAATAATAACTGCACGAAGAGGACACTCGTTCCCACTTTCCACACACCATTATACGTCTTTTGCCATGCTCTTTTATACGCGCTCGCATACATATAAGCACACATACACACATACATAGTATGTTTTTTTTTCACGGAGATACGCGTGCGGTTATATAAGCTCCATACCATGTCGTGCAAACTAATTTACATTAGCGTGTATGCTGCTCGCGAGAAAGAGAGAGAAAGAGAGAGGGACGCCGTGGCATTCACGCTGTTTGTACATCCATCCTGGCGCTGCAGCAATCTCTTTTTTTTCATGTATTCAGATGTATTCAAAATTGTACACTTACCCGATCCGCTGCAAGTACCCTGAACAGCGGAAAAGACAGCTCCGAGTATTGGATGCAAAATTCGCGATACAGGATTGAATTGCCCTCGAGGGCTTCTTTACCTATAGGGGGTTGAGCACGAATACGAACTCTCTGTATAGCGGGCAAATTACACCCACGCGTGTATACGTGTGGAGGGGCAGGTATATCGAGCAGGCGAGATTATATCGAAAGCAAGGACGAGCCGGCTACGTAACGCCTGCACCACCCTGCTGCACCATCGCAGCCGGCCTAGCTGTGCTTCGGCTGTACATTATCGGGTTTCGCCGCTGGATGCGTATAGCGCGAGGCTCCGATGCAGTGGACGTGCACACGCGGGGGGCCAACGCTAAGCACACGCAGTATATAGGCAGTATATATACGTGCACGCAGTTGATGGCATGTATGAGGCCGAGCGTCATTTCCATAATGTAATACTTTGCGCAGTTCTGCGGCAGCTCTCCGATCCGTCTTAGTCCAAGATCCGCCGCGAGAATACTTCGTTATAGTCGCAATAGTCGCGTGTGCGCGGGGCTGCGTGTTGTGTTTAATTTTCATATGCTGCGTCGACTGACCTTGTGGCTCTATTCGTGCTTCCCGACGAGGATGCCTAAGCAGTACATCCGACCAGCTTCGCACATCTGACTCAACTATCATTCGTTTACAGAGGTCCGAAAGGATCGAAGTGAGTCTAATTTATTTACATTTTTTCTTCTCCACTTTTAATTTATTAGGGCGAAAAAAATATCGCACAGATAATTCCAGACAATGATGCGAGGATCGACCGCTTTTCCCGCTCGTATTTTTTCAAGGTCAATACGGTTGTGTACAATACGGGTGGATCGGTCTTTTGTATAACGCGCGGCCGAGTGCCCGATCGAAAGCTCCCGCGAGCGAGCACAACCGAAATGTCTTTCTCTTTTCTCGCTCGTTTCGTGGACGTCGCGCGCAGCGCTTACGGGACCGAGTATATCGTATCTCGAATCCGATCTGCATTTCGCGCGACCTTTGATCCAAGAGCGAAAAATAAGTAATTGCCATTCGCGACTTTCACGTGCGATTTCATTCGTACGCATTATAATGCACGGCCAGCAAAATGCACAGCTCGGCATTCGATTCGCGATGTACGGTGTGTGTGTGTGTGTGTGCGCGTGTTATATCACGGTGTTCGCAACATTGCGTAAGATTCAGATCCCCATCGTTTATATAGAAGCAATGCCCGCGAGTTCAGTTTATTTTTTTTTCTCTCGTCGTCGTGAGGTTGCAACGTTGATGTTGCGCTCACGCAAGCCGCCTATTCGAACTTGCTCTAATGCAAATTCGCGCATTACACATAATTTATTTATCGTCCCGCTAACGCTTGAAATAATTTCTCGATCGCTTGGATGTTTCATTATTATTTGTATAAAGTACCCGTACGAATACCTTATCGCGCGTCGAAGAATTCGACGTTTATTAAATGCGATATGCGTACAATTAACAAAATAATTGTATAAAAAAATTGATTCGAATATTAGCCCGTATATTCTAAGTGATATTCTAGAGAAACGGCAATTTACAATAATATGCAGATAATAACTTGACGATAAATATTTCTGAAAAAAAAACATTTTTCAAGGCTAAATTTCACTCTAATCTCAATCGACTCGATCTATTTACCGATAACCAGACCGGCACTATCAGTATCAGTATATATATAGAAATACTCGGTCGAGTATACCCACATGAATGTGTAAAACTGCGAGACGAATACGATATTACAATAAGAGCTGCTGCGAGGATATCGTCGTCTCGGTCGGCCGATCCTAAGCTCGTGTATACGAATAGATGCTCACGAAGAATCACCGCGTGTGAATTTGCGCGGTTGCGAGCGATCTATAACAGTACACCTGCGCCTGGTGCCATCGGATATTAATCTATGCGGACCGCCGCAATACATCGATGCGAAAAGTTACACATAATACTGTATAGGATTTAGCTGCAGGTTTATATCGATCGGGAGCGAGCGAGAGAGATCGCGTTCAAAGGCAGGCGTGCATAATGTCTCCTGCTTTCTGTCTCGCTTCGTCATAGGGGGACTGCGATAAGACGAGTGTCGAGTACGGACCGCGCGACTCGAGCTTATCGACTGCGAGCTCTATAATAAACCAGCCGTAAGCAGCAGCGGCAACAGCTCGAGTTATATACAAACGCGCGCCATTAGGGCAGCGGCAGCAGCAATCGGGGAAATTCTCTCTCTCTCTCTCTCTCCCTGCACGCGGCTTATCCGAAACTCGCTTTTGCACGCGTTGCATGTGTGCGCATACGTACCTATATACAGCATGTGAGTGCGAGTGCGTTTTCTCTCTCCTTCGTGCCGATCGGCAAACATACTCGATCGTCTTCGCGGCTCGCCACGCCGCAGCGAACCGACTCGTGCGTCTCGAGTATATACGGCCTGCGTGCGCGCGCGCGTCAAAGTCTCGTATAAGCATTGTATACACACAACACACAATACAAGAATTTAAATGTCAGACATGATCGTTGACACGCGCTGCACGATCGACCTTGGATATAATTTTTCGTGAAAAAAAAGGGAAAGAAGAAAGAAGAGAAAGAAAAGCCAGCGAGTCGATCTCGACGTTACGTAAGTTTGCGTATGTTTGTGCGCGAGCTCTCGCGGCCAGGTGTGCGCCGCACGCCGTGTTATATACAGCATCAAAGCTCACAATAGACATAGACGTATCATAACAGCTATATTTCGTTTGTGTATGTGATCGATCCAGTGCAAGAGCCATGGCCGATCCGACGATACAGACCTTTTGCTGTCATCACAACAATCGCTCGGACTTGGCCCTCGTCATCATGGACGAGTTCAATACCGACGCCTACAACACGGTCTGCATGGTGTCCTCGTCGATCGGCATATTCGGTGCTATCTATCAGGTGGGTGGCAACGATTATATTCACGGTTGTGCACGGGTATTTCTGCGAAACGATCGTAGAACGCGCTAATTCGAATCTTAATTTCGTTTTTTTTTTGGAGCAACGGTGTATCTTATTACGCGTCTGTGTAAAGCCGGTGGCAAAATGCAATTATTTGCACGGATGCTACTGTCGGACGCGGTATGTGTTAACGCGCGTCTCGGTATATGATTTTTATTATGTATCCAATTTTTGTGACTGAAAAAAAAGAGACAAATATTTGCTTAAACGCCTAATCTGGAATCAATGTGAAATACTTAAAAAATATGTTAGTGTGTTTATACTGTATCATCGTTTAATGTCACGCCTTTAACGCGATTGCGTGACGTAACACTCGTATATACAAATGCAAATCAATCGATCTCGGGCTGGTAGGCCGAACGCAGGTATAATTCGCGATAATGTATCGTTACGCGTACATAGCTGCATAGCTGCGGCGGGGCTACGATCCCCGCGCGCGCGCGCGAGATAGCGATTTTTCTTTCTAATCTTTTTAATTCACTTCTAATGCGAGTATGATAAGTATACGTTTGCGTGTAATGTGCACTGCAGGTATTGCCGCGACAAGAGCTGAATCTGTCTCATCGATGGCAGGGATTGTCGGCTGCGAGGGGTCGAGAAATCATAGTCTGGCTCGCCGTTGCCGATCTTTTGGCCTCGTCCGGTAACGATGTCACTTATGCGACACTTTTTTTTCTACGCCATTCGACTGCATAGACTCGTTAATTAATATGTACGCTTATACGCACGCAGGTGTTTTCATAAGATCGGCGCTGTGGATGAATTTCAAGTCGATCATGCCGATGGAGGACGACACGTCCAGCGTCGTGTTCTGCGCTATTTCCTCGGTACGTTACGTATCGTAAATTATGTAAAATTACAATAATCGGTCGTATTAATAACGATCTGCTTGAGAAATTTATCGACGTCGTTGTCGTTGCAGGCGTGGACGCAGTACTTTTACATGGCAACCTGGATATGGACGCTGTGCTACGCCATCGATATGAAGCTGCTGCTCGGTGAAAAACTCGGTCGGCCCTTCTGGTACCACATATTCGCCTGGTTGATGCCGGCCATCCTCACCACATTGGGCCTCACGATACTCTACGTTCCGAATGCCAAGTTCGTTGTTCATAATATAATCACAAATTTCGGCGTGCTGCATCGATAACGTATACCGATCTCGTCGTTGTTTCAGCTGCTACGACATAACTAGCCTGTCGTCGACGATCCTGAGAATACTGCCGAATTACCTGGCCACCTACGGTCTTCTCGCCGTGGTGATGGTGGCCAATCCGCTGCTCTACCTGTCGACGACCAAGGACCTGAAGAACGTCGTGACGCGCACCATGGCGCAGATGACGGGCCGCGAGCGCAAGCTCGTCCAGACGATCAAGCTCAAGTTCGCCATGACCAACGTCGTCTACTACGTGTGCTGGATACCGAATCTGCTCAACGGCATACTGCTCTGGACGCTCTGGTTCCAGCTGCCGGTGAAGGTCATCATCAGTCTCTGGTACGTCATGGCCGTGATGAATCCGCTCCAGGCCTTCTTCAACGCCCTCGTCTACAAGAGGTGGGGCAGGCGCGAGAGGTTCAAGCTCGAGTGGTGCTACAAGCTGCGCAAGCTCGGGCCCGGCTATTACGGGGCCAGCGGCAGCAGCGACGCCACGACCGATCCCAGCGAGTCGTCGCCGCTCATCGACGCCGCCCAGTACAAGCTGACGCCGCGCGGCAGTGTCAACAACACCTACAGCGGCACCTCGCCGACTTCGTGAATATACATATAAAACAATAAAATAGGCAAATAACGAATTTATGTGAGATTGCGCGTGCATGTGTCTGTGCGAATCCGTCAATGAGTGCGCGAGTGCGTTATTAATGGCCGTGATACAAAGTGGTATTTTAGCTTATTTTAATGAAAAGTATCGGTCGCTAATTAATTTTCTACGATATAGAAATAAGGTTGGACATTTTGCAATTTACTAGATACGGTGATCTTTAGCAATCTTTTATTTTGCTCTCCCTTCGGCCAACGTGTAACAATCATATCACACAATCGATTTCTTTTACAATTTTTTTGTTTTCGTCTTTTTTTTTGTCGCCATTGTTTATGTACAATTTACATATACATTCATGCAGCTTTCGTTAACCAATTTGTGCTTTTTAAATGGATGTTACATTAACACTCGTATAATTTTATTTTCAAGTGGACGCATTTTTACGCTCGAAACTTTTGTAACATTGAACACTATTCATTTTAGTCCTTAACAATTTCATACTTCGCCTGAACATTCGTATTAAAATGTATATTTATTTTAGCACCATGTATAAAAATGTAACTTTTTTAGTAAAATAGACACTCTATAATATTAAATCTCTTTTTTACGTGCAATATCTTGTACTCTACAATATTGTAACATACTATAGTAACTAATTTTCTTTTTTCCACTTTATTCGCAGTAAGTCGTGGTTAATGATTTTTTGAAGTTTATTCTTTGAGAGAAATCTTTTCGAAAAAACGATAACAGAATCACAAAAATACAGTTTTGATCATACTTAATGTGTATAATGCATTTAAAAAATATCTTTTTTTATAACAAAAAACCATAGGATACTTGTAACAACTTTTACATGTATTACAATGTGTGCACAAATTAGTCTGCACAAATAGTATTTTAATACTCTTTATACTAGAAAAATTTCGAATAATAAATTGACATTAAAAAATGAATACTTTATAATAATCTCAATGTCGTGTGAAACTCATTTCATAGAAAATAACAAAAACTCCCAAACTAATCACATATCCAATACTACAAATTATCCATATAGAACATGGAAAAATTCTCTTATAAATCATTGATTTGTGCTCAAATATGTACAACCGTAACAAACTTAATTTCACATTTATTATTTCTAAACATATTCATTCAAAATTCTTAAAAAAATGTTAACTGCAATAGTAAAATATTTGCCAGAGCCTAAATCTTGACTTACATATACATGAACACTCGTAACATGAGATTCAATGTTTTACAACAAATGCTCAACAACTTCTTAAAGGCAATTTTAGGCTTCAATATTAAATGTAACATATTTTACAACGATTTTTATAGAATAGAGACTTATTTTTCGACTTAAATGAAATCATAAAGGCGAAAGATCGTTACTTCCTAGAGTTAAAGACGTCACATCACGAACAATCATTTCTGCGATTTTCCATGCCGATTCTTCTTTAACCTTGAAATACAAAATAAATAAATAAAAATACAAATGACGTATAATCGATTATTGAAATTGTGCCTATTATTTTATTTTAAATTCAAGTAAGCTTACTTCATCCTGCTCTATATTCACTAGTCTCTTGACAGCACGAGATATTCTTGATTGTTTGTCATTTTTACGATATGGATCTGGTTCTATTTCAGTGACAAATCTTCCTAAATTATCCACGTAACCCACACTTAAACTGATAAAATAGATAATTTTAGGTATGATTGAAATGTGAATTCTGAATTTAAAATTTACATTTTATCTACCTGCTTTTGCTCCTCTTCCATAAAGAATCGGGATCATTCAATTGCTTGGAATCAATATTCATACCTCCATTTAGAGAAGTGTCGTACTTTGATTTTTTATTTTGTTTGCTTTCTTTAGTAGGGCTCGTCAAATTACTTATAGAACTTATTTCACTACTGCATTCAGATTCTGCAAATAATTAATTTTATTATTATGTTCATTTTATTATTAATGTTACAATGAAAATTTTACCTGTTCTTCCTAAAGAATTATGAACTGACATACAGTGACTATTGTGAGCGCTATTGATTAATTCAGACAAATACTTATAAAATAATTGAGATTGTAGAAAGGTAGGGAGGTAATGTCTTTTCAAAAAATTATAAACTAATTGACATGGACGATCAAAACAGTCAGTTTGAGGAGCTTTTCCATCTTCTCTGCAAATGTTTTGCTCGACTTCGAAGCGAACTCTATCACTAAAACCTAAAGGTACTTTTGCTTGCAAACTAAAATACCTAGACAAAAAAATGTATCAATATGTTGCCTTTAATTACATTAAGATTATTTTATGATATCTTACTTGTTATATATTATGAGAGCATCCGATTGGGCCACTGCTGGGTCTACTTGTGTTTCTCTATCTTCTGAATTTTGCTTATAACTTATAACTGTCATCCAAAAATCTAGCAATTCTCTTTTGTTTTCTAGTTCCATAAACTAAAAAAAAATTCACAAAGTGAAGAAATTGACAATAGATTCATGATTCTTGTGTTTAGTTTTATAATAAAAATAAATTGAAAAATTACCTCCATGAAATAAAAAAAAGCAGTTTCATTGTACAATATGTCATCTAATAATACATTTCCACTAGTAAGAACATCAATTTGATGTTTACAATGAAATTCACTCTTTAAAAATTCATTCACATACCTAGAAAATTTTTAAAGTAGTCATTAAACTATTATTTGGTTTTAAATGTTGTATGAATATATGTAACTTACTCGTCATTTAAAATTGTATAAACTGTTCTCTGTATGTCAGTTAAATATTTAACAATTAATTTAGAATCTTTACTACTTATAGCAGTTTCTAAATTTTTAATCAAATCTTCAGAAAGGCAATCAAGTCCAAAAAAATTATTTATGATATATTTTTTGTAAATACGTGCAGAATCTACATACATTGATGAACATTTGCAGGAGCTATGATTGCAATTATTTTTGCTTTCATTGTTTACTATAGGATTATTCTTTGGCAAATTGAAATTTGATTCCTCCTTGCTCATTTGATTTTCCATCTAATAAATATTAATACAATGGTTAAATAATTTTAATAGTATAATATTGTTTTGTACTAAATATTGTATGATGCAACTTACAAAATTATGCTTGGCATTATTTATACAGTCGCTTAGTGATAAGTCAGGAAGCTCCTTATCTTCATTGTCCTTGGACATTGCTTTACAAGAATGGTTATCATTGATTGCAGGATCACATTTGGATTCATTAGACTCTTTGTTTAAATTTTCTTCAGTACTAGTGAATGCTTGTATAGAGTAAGCACTATGAAGACACTCAATTTCAATCAAAAATTTAATTAGTGCATCTTGTTTTTGAGCTTCCATAAATTGAATAAAATATCCAAGTGCACTTTTATCGGCTAAGATTTCTGGTAAAGTTTTTGATAAGCTTGAGCGAAAACAGTTGATTTGGTTTTTGTTTGATGTGAATACATCTTCTTCCTCTTCCTCCTGGAAGCTGCATAATGAATTTGACTTAACTCCAGTTGGAGAACCCACAAATTCATCTCTATTAGATTCAACTGGGCTCGTAGATTTTGCAGGTGAGTTGTGTGATAGTTTGAGCTTATCTTTAACTCCTTGAACATAACAGTAAACAAATAATTTATAGTGAGAAGTAGAATTCTTTTATTCTTGTTTTATTTGTGAAATAGTTTTAATATTTTTTAGTGCCAAAATTAATTTGAAAATTACTCAATAGTTCATTTTATATCAATGACAGACATTATACTTAATACTTTCAAGAGATACTGACAAAGCAACAGCTAGTTATCAATCATACCCAATCTAAGCCCTCTCCACATGTACATATCAAACCAGATAATACTATGTATACTTTGACAGGTAGGTTATATGCTTGCAGTATTACACAGAAAGATTACTAATACTTTGTGTTCATTCCCAGTGAACGAAAATTGATTAGGTGAGAAACAACAAGGATATAACTGCAAGCCTTATTCAATCAAAAATCTTTTGGGTATGTACGTCATACGTAAACACGAGAATCATAAAAATATTTTGAAAGATCATATAACGCGTACGTATAAAATATATTAGCGCAACGGTATCTCAATGCATTTCCTGCGTCGATAGATCAGAAGTTCGAAAAATTAGTTTAGCAAAGTAATCAAGCGCCTATGCCAATCGAAGCCATTACGTGCTAGTCCATGTCAACATCAGTCAGAGAAAATAAACGGCAAAAGAGCAAGAGAGAGAGAGAAAGACAGAGTAAGTGGCTGCATGCAGAATTTTGAGTCACCAAACATGCGACACGACTTGTAAGTAACAGCAACAACAACAAAATTTGATATGTCAAGTTTCACATGTCATACCCATATACACTCATAAAAATTAAGTTAATTAGTTTATAGAGAGACTCACCAGCTTTCTTAAAGAACTGCAGCATCGTTTGATAGTGCAGAACGGATGATCATGGTAATTATTATGATAATACAATAGCTAATGGTTTTGTGTTTACGATCCTGTGGCAGGTCAATGCAAATATTTGTAGTATTAGTACTACATGTAATCTGCTGAGGGCAGGAAAAGAGGCGTAAAAGAAATAAGAATGATACGTATTATTTTTTGCCCTGCAAAGACCAGGCCAACTGTCGCGCACTTGTGTGAAAGTGATGCTGCTGCTGGCCACAGCTTCTACTATTACAAGTTACACTACACAGTTACACACGCACACAGGTACATCCATATATGCTATACTGTGTCAGATAAATGAAATGTGTTGCTACGAGAGAGCAAGATCGCAGTTCGGTGAATCCGCGCAGCAGCAGATTAGATCTTGGCTGACGTGTCTGCTAACTATTATAAAGAGTTGTATACAACGCGATGATGATCGGCACATAGCTATATAATGTGCTGCTGTCTGCGTCGTTTCGCTTGTTGCACTCCGCTGCAGGCAGGACGACTATACACATACCAGTTGAAAAATCCTACAATAGTCGCGAGCCCACATGTAATACTCGAATCAATTTCGCCGTGTTCTTTCAACTCTTTTGATGTCGAACAATGCCATGAAGTCGTTGTATTGTGTGTGATTTTTTAATAATTACTTGTAGCGCGTCTGTTATTAATAGGCGTTACGTTTGCATTGTGGCACGATATGTATACGCACTCGATGTCAAAAGTAAAGCAGGCAATCTTGAAAAGTGTCGATATAGGGCCGCATATCGCAGCAGCAATACTATTTGGCTTCGTGCAGGATTTGGACGCGGAATCGATGTGTGCACTCGCGTTCTTTCACTGGCGCATATAAAAAGTACTTGGCGCGCTGCTTGCATAGTATACCTAGTCTACGCGCGACTATTTACCTCGCTTCTCGACTCGCAATTGCCGAGAGAGCGCATCAGCAGGCAGAGCCAGCTCCGCACGCGTGTTGCACTTTGCATGCTACGTTTCACCTGCTAAAGCAAACTTGCTCGTGCAAAGATATATATAGCTATACATAACCATTTGTATATGAGTCAGATACGATGTCTAACTCGCGTGTTTATTAAGGGTATGCGAGTATCCGATTTTTCGAGTATTCGCGCTTTTTCCGAATATATGGTGCATTATTTCAAAAGCGTGATATGACACGTCTTGTTATTGTAGCTATTAGAAAACTTTAAAAAAATGAAAACTAAGACGGAAGAATCTTTCATTTTACCGAATTTCACCTTCCGCAACTATAAAATTTCCATAAAAAAAGACCACATTGATTTGCCATCCGCATAAATGTACAAAATGTCCCCTCCGTGACCTGTCCTGAACTCATAATCGATTGTTTTCACTCATTAAACACATTTTTACAGATATCCAGCAATATTGTGGTATACATGGGCCCTATTCTATACACCCTAAAGAAAGTTTTTTTGTATGACTCGTCATCTTAAATAGTCTCAAAACAATTGTACATAAGTTACAAATGTGTCCTTAAATTATGTGAAATTTTACATCATTACAAATATAGTGCCAGTAAACGTGCTAGACAATAATTTTGACCTCTCTAACTATACGAGGGTCATCTTTCAGAACTAAGGTACTCGATTTTTACCCGTAGAATATTCAAATCTTAGTTGCAGCTTCGCTATAACAATATTTGCACACGAAAATCGTAATAGTAAAATAAAGTGTCCCCTCCGTGATCGACGAGTTTTCGAGCTAGCTCTTTTTATTTTTGACTCTGGTGGCATAAAAACGTTCGTTTTTACAAACAATTTTTGTGGGTGATGGGAAAAAAAATGTTCAACTTCGTTATCGTCGTGAAATTTGATAAGAGTGCGATTTGTCCCCTCCGTGAATGTCCCCTCCGTGACAAATTTTCATGTTTGCAATAAGAAAATAAACGGATTAGATGATGGCCGGTAAAAAGTAAATATTCCATGAAAAAACAAAGAATCAAGTGTCAGAAACTACGGGGGTCCGGAAAAATTAAACTCAAAATAGAAGAAAATAAGTTTTTCAATTTTTCCAATATTGCCCATTTTACCCACTCCAAATATCACACTTTTGAAATAATGCACCATATATGAGAACTCTTTCAATTACGGTATCGTATGATTTATTTTTTTAATATTTATATATTATATTATTGTCATGTGTATACATAGATGAGGAAGGCTAACAATTTTCGAAATTGCAAAATGCCAGCTATAACTAAACGGCTTAGACGGCAGAGGCAAGTGACTAAACCCTGTAATCGTAAATAGTCTTTATCGCTAATTTCTCTGATGGTTCGCGATTATAGCCTTCCCTGCGAACGTTTCGAGATTCGGAACAGAGAAAATGTCCCGACTAGTAGGATTCTAACGTTTCAAAAATGTTACTCAAAGTAGGTATAAGAATCGAGGTAAGACGGACTCTGCAACGTTACCACAACTGTAAATCTAAAAATTTATTACCATATATTGTAATATTTTTATGTTTTTCGACATATTTTATTGAATCCAGAAATAATAAAACATATAACTAAATTATTCAAAAAATCCGCTGTATAAAAACAGCTGCAAGATGTATAACTAAAGTTAAATTTGAAGGTAAAAAATTCCAAAAATATAATCCAACTAAAACGAAAAGGTATTTGACGTTACACTTCTGGTGTCCATGAATATTAGCCAATTTTTCCACGCCTAGCGCCGTAATATACTATTACATTCAATTGACAATTTTTTATTTAGTTTCTAATTTAGTCGAGGCTGCTGTCGTAGCCTCGAGATATTACCTTACTTTACCAACAAATTGGATGAATTAAAACTCATTTACTCAAAGTATTCGTTAAATATTCATCAATCAAGTTATTGTACTAGAGTACTACAATTTATATGATTTACGATTGAGACAAGCTATAGAAGGACTCGAGTTATTATTTGACCAATTAACACGCATAAACATGCAACGCGTGAGCGAGAGACAGAGTCGCAGAGATACATGACGCTACATTGCACGTTTCATATAGGTATGAGGGTTGAGTAATGCGTAGAACCGAGTACCTACTGCTACTGTGCCGAGTACTGTGCATGCCTCAGCGGCAGTGAACGGTCACTCGACACTACCTATAGCGTCGACCAATCACAGCGGCAGAAGCAAAGAGACTCTACTGAGACTATAAACCTACGATTATCGCGTTCGCTCACTCGCTCATTTTTCACTTTTCCGCCGAGATTCATTTTCATTATCAGTGATACTATAGATAAAGAGTATCCTGCACGAAAATACCGACCGATAATTTCCACAGCGAACGGCGACGATTTCGCCTCGACTACAACTCGTTCCGAGAATGCGTAGCGGCGACAGTACCGCTGTGGCACTTTGACCGCTATAGCTGGCAGAGTCACGCCGCCGCTATAGCTACACCGCATGTCGAGTCGGGTCTATTTCAGTACACGTTTGGACGCCGCAGGAGCTAGCACACAGTAACGATCGCATCGACCGTAGTCAGTGATTCTCGTATACCAAGTGTAAAAGTTGAACATATAAATTTTGTCCGATAACTGAACGTTTTTCAAAGTGAGTTTGCACAACGACGATGGCCGACTTCGATTGTGATTCCGAATGTAGCTACGACAGTGAATTCGACTACGACCTGAACATCGACGTGGGTAACGGGGACGCGACGAGCAAACTGAAGTGTCTGCGTCAAGCGGTCAATTGGGATATCGAGGAAGAGCGATCAAAACTTTTCTATTATTTTAATTATTTAACATTGGAATGGGCCGAACCTTTTTTTCCGGTAGGAAGAATTGTCAATCTCCGAAACATATTTCGGCCCGAAGAGATTGACTGGCTACTCTCGAAGGCCGTGAAAAAATTAAAAAATTTCGAGGGAGAAGATTTCATTAAGTTCGTGGCTGATATGGGCTATAAGGACGAGCCCAAACTCGATCAAGACGGCAAGCCATTGCTGCATCGCTCCACGCCATTGCATCATTTGGCTAATTGCTATAACTACTCCAGCACACCAGATCTTTTCGAAATCTACGATAGATTCGACGTTAATTACACCGACGAACGAGGCCTTACACATTTCCATGTGGCCTGCATGTTTGACGTTAGCGATGTCGTCGAAAAATTCCTCGAACTCGGTCAGGATCCGAATTGCCTCGTAACAGAAACAGGCAATTCGCCGCTGCACGTGGCTGTTGACCGGCTTCACGAGGGGGTGGTCGAAGTATTGTTGAGAAGAGGTGCAAACCCGAATTTGACTAACAAAGACGGATTGACATCGCTGCATCTTCTTTGCACGAGTTATGATGATACCCTGACTAATAGCATCATGGAACTGCTTTTCAAAATCTGTGACGAGACGCATCAGTCGCTGCAGGTGGATACCGTGGACAATTTGGGCCGGACACCGCTGCAATCGGCCGTGGCGAATTTCAATCACGTCAATATCGATACTCTACTGGATCACGGTACCGATCTGTCTGGGCTTGTTTTTCCCACTGAAAGTCATTTCGCCGAGAACAAGAAATTGTTTCAGAGAGAAGAAAAATCGCGTCTTGTATCTCGTATTCTGAATACTGTCCAACGCTTGGAGAAACGAGGATACGAGCTGGACCGAAGCGACCGCCTCGTGCTCATGAAAATATTCGCCGAGTTCAATCTGTTCAATGAATCGAAGGATGTTGATAAATTTTTCCAGCGTTTGGCACTGGAATTTTTCATAGAATTAACGTGCCAATGGCTGCCAATTCTATGTTGCGAAAAAATCATCAGAAAGCTGAAAAACGAGGATTTGTTTCACATTTGCCTGGCCACCACGGATAAAGCTACGAGTTAGAAAATCTCAATATCAATTAATGGCAATTTGATGGGCCTATTTTTAGATATAGTAATGGTTTCTTTTTGTAGACGATAATTAAACTGATCTTTAAAGTCCCTTTGTTTCACAAAGAATGTAACAATCGAAATAAATTTATAAAAAGAGCATAATTTTGATATTTTTTGTATGTTTTTTTGTTTTAACAGTTTTCTCTATATAATTCTTTAATATAATTCTGTAGATTTTCTACGATTAAAAAAAAAATAAATAAAAGAAATTAGTTTTGATGTTCACATTTAATGGCACAAGTAAAAAATTTAAAATTGTATATTAATTTATAAATTGCACCTTAGTTTGAATGACATAAGACCGACTCTAGTATCCTTTACCTAGCCAATTTCAAAGCACATCCTGGACACCCAAATTAACAAAATATTCACAATCAGTAATACTTTCAAAAACTCGAAAATCTTTTGCTCGTTATATCTTACTGTAATTTGCGCTAACGCAGTTTCTAGTAGCGTATCAAGTCACAGCGCTTGGAGCAGCAAGTCTCGCAAAGAAAGTAAAAAAATTTTTTAATTTTGACAGACTGTAAATCGTTATAGTTTAAACCAATCATAACAATTGCAGTGTTTCATCGATATATATAAGAACGCCACAGAATTAACAAGAGGAAGATCGCATCGACTGCAACGGTGCCAACAAAAGTTTAGTGAAAAACACTGAAATATATTTTTAATTATCGGCAGTTGTGTCTGTGCACCCGTGTCTGCATTATTTGTATCCTCTATAACTTCAAAAGGTAACTAGCACCCGTCGGCATAAGCGATGTCAAATCCTCCTTCCTTAAAAAAATGATGCGTGGTCGTTTTATTCGTCACCTCATTGGTCGAGGAGTAACTGCGCCTCGCTTCATGATTGGTCGGAATCTCGCGTCGGTCGTTCATATAATTATTTTAGTGAGAAAACTTTAATGTGAAATCATTATTTGGCGTGGACAAGTTTCTC